AAACGGACATCCAGTGCTTTCAGGTTCTTTATGGTGGTCTAGTTTTATTCGACTCATGAATTCAACTATTAAATTACTACAATCTCTATGAAACCCTTTTCTGATAAAAAATCTCTGTAAACCATCAATCCCAATAGCATAGAAAGTTTTAACATTAGCTTAAAAGTATGGAAGTACATGCTGTTAATGAAACGAGATACGACTTCCTATGACAGAGAAATTATATATACATGTATATTTAGATGTATATATTGTAAATACTATATTCATAAACAGTGATAAATAGCTATACGGTAAGTAGTAATGTACCTGGTTGCCCCCAAATACCCTGGCACGGCCGAGAGTGGGGATAGTCAGCTCTCCCTCTTGAAATGCTCCCACATAGCCAAGTGCATATAACCACTATCAGGGAAGTCCTACTCAGTAGTTTCTCGCGGTATTACTGTTGTTTACGAAATTGAGATGAAAAGCGAATGTCCGGCGCTTAAACCGGGTTGGAAGATATAAAGGATCTATTTAGAGAAGTTGGAAAACCGTCATTCTAAACCAATGGCGTACATGAGCTCCAGGATTTTGAAGGAACAAATAGCGTATGAACTTATTGTTGATAACCGGCTGCGATGAGATTGTATCTCCCGACGTTGTTCCACTACCTTATGAATTACACCTTTAGGTCAAAAACTCAGTGTGGCCTCCCTATGAAAACCACCTGTTTCGGTTTGGTTAACCGGACACTATCCTATCCCTCACACAAATCGAATGATTTCTGTGGCTCATATCTATTTGGTACCTTCTTGTACCAATGTTTATGTGTTGAAATAAATAAATACATGGTTGTCGACGTTAGACTTTGGATACACGACTATGCTAGAAAATGGATTGATAAAGTTGTAAATCAGCATTAATTGTGTTAGACGGGACATTTGTTACGTATGTCAAACCATCATCTACCTCAAGATGCCACGATGGCCATAGTTAGAGCACATTATACGAAATTGAGGGAGCAACTAAAACACTTGATATCATTTCATGAAACTATTGACTATTTTGAGATAGAATGGCGGTTGGAAGTAGTCAACAGAAAACACTGGACCCAAGTTTCGTGCTCTTTGGCATTCGTCAGCAAGGTGTACCTGTAATCTTGAGGGAACTGGTTCTCCCTGACGGACTCGATCCCGTATCACCCAGCTTCACAATTAGAGACGTTACCATTGGGCTACCCGGGTCCAGGGTTTCCTGTTGACTACCTCCAACCACCATTCTATCTCAACATAATGCACGCAGTGTTGAGTCACCTAGACTAGTAGCCACATTACAACTTGTTCGATAGCATTCGATCTACTCTAAGAAGGAGTTGACTATATTTCCCTACTAGTTTCCTCATCGTGTCATATAGTTGTTTCTTATTTCCTTCTCTTACAAGTTTTTCCTCTCTCCTCTTCCACGTAATTCTACTTGTCGGCTTCAGTGTTCTTCTTCAATTGTTTTTTTGCTTCTGAGAACTCAGCTTGTGCATTGACTTTCGCTGTTCTTGTTCGGTTGTTGTTAATAGCTGTCTTCTTGTTCTTCCGTTCTTGAATATTGTCCAGGATTTCAATGGAGATCCATTTCTTATGACGATGCTTCCTTTGGCCTAGAACCTACTGACACGTTGAGGTTAATGCTTCTTTGATGCCTTTTCAGTACTTCTCAATAGTAGTTTTTCATTCTTCTTTGAATAGATATTGAAAGGCTTAAAATGTGTTGTTGAGAGTTATTTTGAATTGCTTGAGTTTTCCAGCATGTCGAAAGAAGGCTGTATTGAACATTTGTAATGCTATTTTACCAGTTGTTCAGTGTTTCTTTAGCTTCACTTTCGTCTTGACCACAACCAGATGGTGATCTGAAGCTATGTCAGCTCTTCTCCTAGTTCTCACTTCATCCATGGATCTTCCTGATGTTCTGTTGATTCAAATGTGATCCCGTGAGACACATGTGGCTTTGTGTATGTGTTTATGTAAGAATATTGTGTCACCTATAACCGATTTGCTAAACGCACATAAATTTGCAAATCCATCAACATTCTGTTCCTTCCTCCCAGTCAATCCATGTCGTCCCATGATATCTTTATATGCAATGTTGTCCGTTCCGACTTTGACGATTAGGTCTCCTATCAGGATGACCAGATCCTTACTTCAGCACTTCGCTATGATCGTATGCAGCCTCTCACAGAACTGGTCTTTAATGTCGTCATTGTCATCATTGGTATGTACATAGCACTAGATAACATTAATCGTGATCCCCTCCTTCTTTGTTTTGAAGGATGTTTGGTGATCCTTGATCCATCAGATTCCCACCCATTAAGTGCATTTCGTGCTTGTTTGGACAGCATCAGAGCAACTCTCTGAGTGTTTGGAGCATTTTCCTTTGCATGACCGGAGTACAGCAGCATCTCTCCCGAATCTAGCATTTGCTGTCCAGTATGTGTCTAATAGATTTCACTTATTCCGAGCACTACCAATTTGTATCTCCTAATTTCCGCAGCTATTTGATTGGTTCTTCTAGTCTCCTATATTGTCCTTCCATTCCATCTACCTATATTAATTGTTTATCAGTTTATTAGACGGGGCATCGTACTCGTGACTTCCGAAGAATCTTGAATCTCATCATATGGCTTCATATTGGTTTTTTCAATTTGAAGGGTAGAGTTTCAATCGTTTAATTTCTTTAATCTGGTAAGCGTTTTTTAGGTAATGTTGTTTTCTATGGGATAGGGTTTCCGACACCCATAACCAACTCTTCTTTTTCACCCAAAATTGGTACTGGCAGTAACTTTAGAAGAACTCAGGAAATGTCAGAAATCTGACACATCATAAATTTTTCAGGAATTATGAAATTTATCGGTTTTATACTTTGAAGCGGTGAATCATCACTGTAATAATCAGTGGTCTATACTTTCCTTTGGTTCATCATTAATATAGAACAAAGATAACCTATTCTTCCTGGTTTTAAACATCTATTTTATAATTACCTCATTCATTTTCCATTTTTATTGCACCCTACTTATTTTTTATTGGTTGTAGTTACGAATAAACAATTCTAAACACTAAGAAATTAGTCTAAATATTTTTCTGACACGACAACTGCATCTCTGTGCTAATGTGGTATGGTAACTCGAACAGATGTACTTACGTACGACGTTCTACGTTGTTACTGACTGAATAACTAACTCTTCTAATGCTGTTGAAGTCCTATCGATCAAGATACAATAAGGATGGTAGGCTTGGTCATCCAACATTACGTGAACAATGTTAATATGTTATGGATGCACACTATTGGGGAATACTTGACTGGGGAATAAATAGCTATTTAAAGCCTCTTAGTTCTCAGTAGTAGTATTCCGACACCAAACAATGTGTTTTAAGCATTATTAAGCCCTAACGCTTCAGGCTGGCCTATTTTGTTTACTACCCTACATATGTGTTGTATGCAGTATAAGCTATATGGCTATGTAGAGCTGAAGGTCTAATATGAGACGGGAGGTTTGCCATTGATATTGTGGATGGTTCGGCATTGCTTTGCAAAGTTTTGCTGACTGTTCATGCACAAAATTGGTTTGCTGGTTAACCGATTTCATTCATACTGGTGGTTACTTTTCAGTGTTTTCGAGGGCCATCGTCATTGGGACATTGTAAGGTATGTCGCCATTGCTAACATTAATGAGTTTGACTGTCATGTAAGCGGAATAGGTCAACTTTGGCCTTTTCATGCTGTGCATAATTGATTCATGCGATCATTGATCGGAATAACCATACATGTGATGTGAATCTGTATATAAATGGTGCGAATGATCCACTGGGATGCTTGGTACCTGTTTGGTTGTGCCACAGGATTGAGCTGTACTATTCAGATTGTAGCGTTAAAGCCTATTCGGTGTCTGGTTCTCCTTTGAAGCGGGATTGAGCTGTACTGCTCGGTTTATAAAATTTAAGCCTCGGTGGTGTCTGGCTCTGCTGTTAAACGGGATTGAGCTGTACTGTTTGAGTTGTCACGTGGAAGTCTGGATGGTGTCTGGTTCTCCTGAAAACCAATGTAAAATTACTCTGACCCACAAGGGTATATTATATAACTATGTTAAGATGTTAGGTGGTTGAAAGAATGTCAGCTAACACTACCATCCTTTAGCAGGATAAATTGTAATTTTTTGTGCTCCTGAAAGGATTTGGTCACATGAACTCCTGCTCAAAGACAATATGACCAAGATATTCAAGTCTCTACTGACCTACCGGTTGTAAAATATTTCGAATTGATTAATCATTGATTAGGGATAAATATCCTATCAACTACCCTGAATAACAATAAAATAACCGTAGTTTATAATTATGCTTCACATTCACCTCCCCGTTTATGAACAAGTTTTCACATCCTTCCCCTTGGGATCCTTATGAATCCTAAAAATAATGATTACCTTTCTAATAATAATGAGCAAATGATAATGATCAGTATAAAGTTTTAAGGATTGTTAAGTTTTTGATTGAAATTATAAATCAATTAATACAAGGGCACCAATGAAAACTTATAAGAAGATTTCATTCTAGTCTAGAACTTTTCAGCAGTGTTCATCTACGATCCAACACTCAAGACTTGAACCTATAACTTTCAGTCTCATAAGCGAACGTTTAACCACTAAATCACTGAACCAACATTCAATTGTATTCATGTTAAACTTTAACCAATCCATGATATTACGCAATCATCTTCCAAGTTTCTTAATGATGATGATGATGATGATGATGATGATGATGATGATGATGGTGATGATGATGATGATGATGATGATCTAACATTGATCAATCCATCATTTCTATCAGGATCAACATTTAAGTTGAAGAATAATGTCAAGTCAACACATTAATCAAGCGAATATATAAGTTATATTAGTCTATATAAATGAATTGTGAATTATATTTGTGTATACATAGATGTATATGTATCATATGTATAATGATAATTAGTGAAAGTTATTGAATAGTTACATCATTAGCTAAAAGTGATAATCGATAATCAATTAATGCATTTTCATATGAGTTACACAAACCGGTACGATACATTTTTTCACGACATTTACAACGTATTTGATAGATATACTTATTCGATGGTAATAAACTAAGAGCTAGAAGGAAAAGAAAAGAAGAACAATGAGAAAAATTGAATGTAAAAAGAAATTTGATCAAGACCATGAACTGTTTGATGTTAGACCACCTTAGAAAACGTGAAAGCACTGAATGGCCGTTTCATCCTATTGTGAGACTCCTTAGTAGTGCGTATTCATGATTCCGCCAAGCGGGACTCGAACCCAGGATCTTCAGCCTCGCAAACAAACGCTTAACCTACTACACCATTGAGACAGTATACAGCGGTATTAATGTCTCAATCAACCACATAATCATCTCCACATTCCTATACTGAAGAAAATATTTGTTCAGTATTATTAAATAAAACACAATTGGTATTAATGAACTGTAGTTTCTTTCCATAACTGTTCATATTAATTAAAGGTGAAAGTTTTGAGTAAAAAACGAAAGAATTTCGTGATCTATTATAATATATTATTGATTAATCATGGTAAGAACTAACAGTGGAAAGTCTAATGGTAAGATGGTGTATAGAGGTAGTTAACATGAAACCCTAGGCCTAGGTTTCATGTTATTTGGCTCATTGGTTTAAATGTAAAGCGTTCGCGCGTGAATCCAAAAGCCGTAGGTTAGAATCCTACGAGTGGAATCGTGGATGCACATTGTTGGGGAGTCCAACAATAGGATGAAATGGCAGTTCAGTGATTCCAGGTTTTCACTGGTGGTCTAACATTAATTGATTCATGATCTCAATAAGAAAAGTTAAATCAAGCGGTTTAATCCCAGATAGCACAGAATGTGCATACAAGATTCTTTTATCGATAATATAATTACTGTTTAGTACTATGTTGGCATCCTTGATATTGTAGTGTGATGTTGATTAATAGTAATTTACAATGAATTTTTTAACAGCTTGATTGTCTGTAAATTTGACGTTTTATGAAATCAGAATGAGGGTTTATGGAAATTGTAGTAATTTAATAGTTAAATTCATGAGTCAATTCAAACTTGACCACCCTGGAAACCGTGGAAGCACTAGACATTTAGACCATTAGATGCCAGATCAGTGGACTAGAATTTAAGCGTTCGTGTGCAAGACCGAATGTCCTGAGTTCGGATTCCGCTAGAGAGATCCTGGATGCACACTGCTGAGGAATCCCATAATAGGACGAAACAGCCTTCCAGTGCTTCCGGGTTTTGTTAAATGCTCAACACTAACTAGGCACACATCTTGACATAAATAATATTTTAAAAGTAATAAAATCATCAAACCGTCAAAGAAATGTCAAACAGTCGGTCATTATGAATCTTTGTTGCAATCAAATTACACTACTATTTAAACTCATTATCAGATACATTTAAAATCTTTAGTTTCACTTCAAATAGGATTATATCTATTCAAGACATACCACAACACTATAGGAAATGATTGGATAATGTACTATATTAAAGCATTCATAATCAATACTAATTGGTGTGTTTCTTATATTTTTAAGTGAGCATTTAAATGACATTCATGGATAAAGACATCAAGTATTTTGATCGCATCGATTGTATAAAACAAATTGTTAATGACTCTTAGGACGGGCCCGAATTTTGCCCACTGAATGCTCTGGTCCGGCCGAGAGTGGAAAGAATCAACCCTCCCACTTGAATTGCTCCCACATGGCCACATGCATACAACCATTGTCAGGGAAGTCCTACTCACTGCCTTCTTGTAGCATCGCTGTTGTTTAAGAAATTGGGAGGACGAAAAGCGAATGTCCGTCGTTTAAACTGGGTTGAAAGATATGAAGGATTCATCTAGAGGAGTTGGAAAACCATCATTCAAAACCAATAGTGTACATGGGCTCCAGGATCCTGAGGAAACAAATAGTGTATGAACCAATTATTAGCCACTGGCTACCATGAAACTGCAACTAGTTACGTTGTTCCATTGCCTTATCAATTAGACCTTTAGGTTAAAGGCTCTAGGTGTAGCCCCCTAAGAAAACCACCTGCTTCGGTTTGAGCACCCGGGCAGTATCATAACACACACACACACAAATGAAGTGACTTATATGGCATATCTCTATTAGGTGCCCCTTCGTACGAATATTTGTGTGTTCAAATAAATAAATAAATAAGAAGTGAAATGGTATTTGAATTAATGACTTACAGTTTTGAAGTTAAGTAATCTAAAACACTAAGCTACAAACTAAGATTTTCTATAACTCAAATTACTGATAGAATGTAGTCTATGATCATAGATGCATAAAGTGTTCTACATTCATTAACACAATAATTTTATCTGTATTGTTCTTTTCCCCAATTTAGATTTGTTTTTATAAGCAAAAATGCATAGTAGCTAATAGTGGGATCCAGTTTGATGCGTGTTCCATGCTATTTAGAACTCATCAGCTAAATATATCGGCATCCCACAGTTGATGTTCACTCTGGGAGTAACTCAAACCCAGTACTGTTCGCTTTAAACGCCATCGCATTATCCACATAGCAAATGAACACTGATAATCACTTGAAGTTTAAATTGAATTAGTATTGTTGTTTATTTGAATCTTCTCATTCATATTTAAGAATGCAAAAGATCAGTCTTTTATTAGCATATATACATCATGTGAGGATTGTTTCAATATTGTTTTAATTCACAACCATTATAGGGGTGGGGATAGCAATGAAATCCTTGATATGTGTCTCATCCTATATAGAACTCATCAACTGAATGTATTTGCATCTCACAGTTGATGCTCATCCCGGGATCCAGTTTGACGTGTGTTCCGTCCTATTTACGACTCATCAGCTGAATGTACCTGTATCTCACAGTTGATGCTCACTCTGGGAGTAACTCAAACCTAATACTATTCACCTCTAAACACTATTACATTATCCATTTAACTACTAAATCCTAATGATAAAATACAAATAAACAATATCAAGTGAATATAGATTTTTTGTTTTATAAAAACAAAAATTGAATTCCTTCCATTGAAAAAAAGAAAAAAAAAAGACAAAACAATTCAAGTTTTTTTACTATTTCTTTTTTCTCTCTCTTTTTTTCTCTCTTTTTTTTTCTTTAAAAAATCTATATAACTGAACATTTGTACCAGGTAAATGAATCTATTGAATTTTCTTTTACTTATTTTTTTTATTTTATTTTATTTTATTTTTTTTTTTTCATGATTAGGGCGGTTTCATCACAATATTTATTTATTATTCGTCTGTTTTATTTTAACCAAACAATAATCATAATCATAATGAAACTTCAATTATTTATTTATATTAGGGCGTATTCATAACATACATTAATTTCTAATGTAATCTATATATATAAGTATAAAATTAATATAAACCAATATTGTAGATATATTTTTTTTCATTTTTTTGTTTTTTTTTTCATTTTTTTGTTTTTTTTTTCATTTTTTTGTTTTTTTTTGCGAGAGAGAGAGAGAGGGAACAATCATAGCAACATATAAATAAGTACACATGTATACGTATGCACGCAGACACGTACTAGTGCACTCACACATACGCACGCACGCACTCACACGCACATATATGTATATATATATATATATATATATATATATATATATATATTCCTTATTCGATAGAATGGATGAATGAAATTATTCGAGACAATTAAGATCATTAACTATTATTATTATTATTATTATTATTATTATTATTATTATTATTATTATTATTATTATTACCCTTATTGATATTATCAGTATGAATAACAAAGATTATCATGATAATTGTAGAAGGGAATAAACAATTGAAGTTTGAATAGAATTATGCCGATTGAAAGTTTATAGTAAAAGTAATAATAATAATAATAATAATAATAATAATGATCTATCTATCTTCTTTTATTTAAGTAGTAATTGAAGATAAAAAGAAAGTAAGAGTGATGCAATCTAATTCATATGTTTGTGTTCTTGACTGTTGAATAGTGAGATGAATAACTCATGAACTAATATGAGATCATAGATGTCTTAGAAATATTGCTAGTATCTTCTGGGATCATTGAGTAAGTGATAGTAAGGTTAGACATGCAGGGTATTAAGGAATGATAGTAAATCAGTTGATGAGGTTGTGAATCTTTATTGACTGAAATGATTGGGCCATATGTTATGTATACCTGAACACTGATTACCAATGACATGTAATGCTAACCGATGTTGGGGATGGTTGGAAGAAAGTTAGGAGCAGCCAAAGCAAAACGTGGTATCAGTGCTTGAAATCATTAACTTGTAGTCTGAACTATGTTGGTAGATGTAGACTACTTGGTTGAGATCCGCGTAACTATCATAACTAATGATTGGAAACTTTGGATGACATGGTTCGGAATCGATCACCATATGTCGAGGCAGTCGGTGGTCAGGCATGAGTAAAAAATATCTCATCTATCTCAACTGATGAAGTTTCATTAGTTCATCAGTTAATCTACCATCCCTACCTAGTACCCGTTTCCTAACAACTGTATTACTTACCCGGTGATCCAAGGATATACGAGCAATGCACCTGAGCCATTGCAAACGATTTCGAGCTATGTGTCATTCAACGTCTCTAACCATCGGTTACTATCATCTCGTGGATCACAACCAGGTAGTCTACACCAATCAACATGGCTCAATTCATTTGTCAATGAAAGTCTAGATAGTATCTGGTTCTCTAAGAAAACCAATATAAAATTACCTTGACTTATATGAGTATATTATATAACTATGAAAATACTTTCTTACCTTTTGTAAATTCTTTATCAGCTTTTATATAATCTTTTAATTTATATAATATTTGTCCTTTAGTATAATGTAAATGTGGCCAACATGTTAATTTATTTATTAATTTCGGTAATATTAATTGTTCAGCATAACAAATATCATTTAAGGCTTCTTTCAATATAGAATCATAATGATCATTAGATTTGTGTTTGATCAATTTAATGATTGATCTTAGTAACCATATACTTGGATCTAAACATATTGATTGTAATTGGTTAACAGTGGTGAATAAAGGAGATTGTTTATTGTTTATTACTATATTGATTATATTTTCAGCTTGTTCAAATTGTCCATGATGTAAATAAATTAATGCTTGATGATAATATGCTAAACCATTGGTAGAATCAAGTTGATTGGCATTTCTATAATGTATATTGGAAAAATTGATTAGTTGAATAGATGATAAGCTTAATTGTAAAGAATATAACTTGAATAGTTTATGAAAGAAAAAGAAACTCTGTCTGTAGCTCTTCTAGAATTATTGGCGGTTTCAAGCCAGTTTAAAAAGAGAATGGTTGAGTATGAGGTCAGCAATCACATTCTATGAAAAAAAAAAACATTGCTAATGAGGTGTGGCAACTTGGACCGGTGCATGTATGTGCTAGGTCATACGTTGTGATTGACTGACTGACTGCTAACCAGATTTAACAAATTAAACTCTAATCTACGAGTTGAAGGACGAATTATGAAGTCATATGATGAGATTCAAGATTCTTCGGAAGTCACGAGTACGATGCCCCGTCTAATATACTGATCAACAATTAATATAGGTAGATGGAATGGAAGGACAATATAGGGGACTAGAAGAACCAGTCAAATAGCTGCGGAAATAAGGAGATACAAATTGGTAGTGCGCGGAATAAGTGAAATCTATTAGACACATACTGGACAGCAAATGCTAGATTCGGGAGAGATGCTGCTGTACTCCGGTCATGTAGAGGAAAATGCTCCAAACATTCAGAGAGTTGCTCTGATGCTGTCCAAACAAGCACGAAATGCACTTAATGGGTGGGAATCTGATGGATCAAGGATCATTAAACATCCTTCAAAACAAAGAAGGAGGGGATCACGAATAATGTTATCTAGTGTTATGTACATACCAATGATGACAATGACGACGATAAAGACCAGTTCTATGAGAGTCTGTAATCGATCATAGCGAAGTGCTGAAGTAAGAATCTGATCATCCTGATGTGAGACCTAATCGTCAAAGTCGGAATGGACAACATTGCATATAAAGATATCATGGGACGACATAGATTGACTGGGAGGAAGGAACAGAATGTTGATGGATTTGCAAATTTATGTGCGTTTAGCAAATCGGTTATAGGTGACACAATATTCTTACATAAACGCATATACAAAGCCACACGTGTCTCACGGGATCACATTTGCATCAACAGAACATCAGGAAGATCCATGGATGAAGTGAGAACTAGGAGAAGAGCTGACATAGCTTCAGATCACCATCTGGTTGTGGTCAAGACGAAAGTGAAGCTAAAGAAACACTGAACAACTGGTAAAATAGCATTACAAATGTTCAGTAGTGTTTATGCAGATCAATCAACTCTGAGTTAACTTTCTAGATTTCACAGAGCGGATTATGGATGCGCATTGCTAAGGAATCCAATATCAGGATGAATTGGCGATCCAATTGGTCTAGCTTCAAATAACTCATAAACAGTTGTATAATATAATATACTTTTGTGGGTCAGAGTAATTTTACATTAGTTTTCAGGAGAACCAGACACCATCCAGACTTTCATGTTACAACCCAAATAGTACAGCTCAATCCTGCTTCACAGGAGAATCAAACAACATATAGGCTTTAACGCTATAATCTGAATAGTACAACTCAATCCTGTAGCGCAAGCACACAGGTATCAAGCAACCTGGTAGATCATGAATACAACTCTATAATTTACATTACTTAAAAAGTATTCATCAGATAATTATAATGTATATATCTTACTTGAAATCAATCATAGCAGGCATAATTTGTTGATTACAAAAATAAGCAACACCACGATTAATAAGATATTTTGTTGAATAACGATTTAAACGAATTGAATTTGTCAGATCATCAATAGCATGTTGAAATCTACCAAGTTGTAAATATATAATACCTCTACAATCATAAACATCAGCTAATAATTTATTGTGTTTCTCATTTGTTAATTCATTATAGTTAGATTCTTGATGATTATAATAAATATTTAAAGTATGTGTGATTTGTTTTAATGCATCATTTAAACGTCCTAGAACCTGAAGGTCAAATTAAAAGTAGAATACAATATAATTTATTTGAACATATAAATATTGATATAAAAGGGGTACGGAATACTTTTTTGTGCTACACAAGTCACTTGATTTGTGTGTGGGTTGTGATATTGCTCAGGTACCCAGTTCAAAGTAGGAGGTTTTCTTAGGGAACCACACCCGGCGCCTTCGACCTAAAAAGCCTAATTCACAAGGCAGTGAAGCAGTCCCATGGTAGTATAGTGATCAACAATTGGTTCATACACCATTTGTTCCCTTAATATCCTGGAGCCCATATACACTATTGATGTAGAATCAGGGTTTTCCAACTCCTCTATGTCCATCAACCTCGGTAAAGCACCGGATATTTGCTTTTCGTCATCTCAATTTCGTAAATAACAGTAAGATGGCAGTGAGTAGGACTTCTCCGATCAGTGGTTGTATACACTAGACCATGTGTGAGCATTTCGAGAGAGATCGGACTCTCCTCACCCTTGGTTATAATCAGGGCATTAAATCTGATTGGATAACTACTATTCAAAAAGAAATATATCAACTAATTGCATAGTATCTTAAAAGCGAATTAAGTTAGAATATCACAAAATTTATTGTTTTAGAGGCTCAATATTGGTAACAGAGATCCTTTAGTTTGCGATAGATAGAAAAATGATAATATCAATAATAAATTGTATATTTCTTGTGACTATAGTCTAATTATGGAAAATTTGGAAGCACTGGACGACCGTTTTGGTTCTACTGTGTGAATCTGTTGGGGATGTTAGATCCCCAGAACTCATATGAAAAAGGACCTCATTTTGTAATTTTATTTAGAAAATTTGAATTTCTTTGTAGTCGCGCCAAAAGCGCTCTTTTCACTTTCATGTCGTGTTTCCCACTTGGAAGAATCTTAAATGCTATTGGTCTGTTGTGTCTTTTAGTATGCTATTTGGTAAAGATTCCCAAGGACGGTTTTTTGCTGTATATATACGTTGTCGTTATCGCTCGTTTTTGGCTTTTGCGAAATATACTTCCCCCATTTTGAACTTGGACTTCTTCCTCTAGTTAGCGGGTCTGGGACGCATCGAATAGCTAGCTTATTAGTCTTTAGTCACTGAGTCTTTGTTTCGTTCACAGATTAAATGAACTCGTAACTGCTTCAAACCTAGTAAATTTTGGCGACGGGAAGGGATTCGAACTCATGCGGGGAAACCTCAATGGATTAGCAGACTCCTAAATTCTTTTCTACTTTTTAAGTTGTTTCCATCATTAAATTAGAATAAACAATCAATAATTCATGGCTTAACTTTTACAATAATTTTTATTCTATTCTAATCAATATGTTTAGTGATGCTTCTGGTAACAGAAGGTTCATTAACAGTATAATGATTGACATATCGTGTTGATTGTACGATAGGTGAGACTAAGTAGACTAGCCTTAGCCATCTGAATCCACACGCTATGTTCTGTTCTATTCTAATCAATATATATATATATATATATATATATATATATATATATATATATATAGGCTGGTTAATATGCTCAACTGTTAACTGAATATATCATAGACTCTAGCTTAAAGAGTGTCAACAACATGTGCTCACTAGTGACTAGCTTCGTGAGGGAATTCTCGGAGTTCTAGTGAGAAGCCGTGACCAGTAGAGCTAATCCGTGTCAAGTAGAGACAGGTATCTACCTCAGTACAATGGAAGATGGTCGCGCAATTTCATGGAGTGGTTGATGTTAGACACTAACACCATTGGATGCCGGCTCAGTGGTCCAGTAGGTTAAGCGTTCGCGCGCGAGACTGAAGGCCCTGGATTCGAATCCCGCGAGCGGGATCGTGGATACACACTGCTGAGGAGTCCCATACTAGGACGAAACGGCCGTCCAGTGCTTCCAGATTTCCAACGGTGGTCTAACATCAGTCGATTCATGATCTCAATCAAAAACTTTGAAAAAAAAATTGATCTTTCAAAGTAGATAAATGCTTATCACAAAAAAAATCTATAAACATAGTGATCCTAAAGGGAAGATGGATAATAGTAGCTAGCAGTATAATTTAGGATGCACGTTTTGTCCTATTTGAAACTCATCAGCTAGATATATTTGAATCCTAGAGTTAATATTCACTTCAGCTAGAACTCAAACCCAGTACCATACACTTAACTATTGAGTTTCAAAATGAAACATCAACTCTTAAATATAGATATATTCAGATGATTAGTTTCAAATAGGAAAAAAAGACTTGAATCAAACTGGATTCCACTATTAACCATTATTTATCTTTACTTAAAAAGCTTATAAATTAAAGTGATATCAAGGCAATTCACACAGGATACACCTAAGTCAATATAAGAATGATCAATTACAGTCTTAAATAACAATAAAAAAGATATAAGTAAACAATTGTCAGTGAATTTATGTATAAATAAACGAACTCAATACTTGAGCACATTAAAAAAAAAAACAGGTAAATATTAATACTTTCTATTATGATAGTACATTTCGTGTGCGTGTGTTTGCGCGTGTGTGTATGTGTGTATGTGTGTGTGCGTGCGTATGTGTATATAAGGTAATATCTATGTTTATTTCTATTCAAACTGTATTACTTATTATGTCTAATGAATAGATGAATTGAATACATAAACAATTATCAAATATCCTATACAGGCGTATCCTTATAACAAAACACACACATACACACACACACACACAAAATGACCCATAGTGATATATAATATTGTTGATTTCATTGATTTATTTATTTTTGTCATTATATTGTATACTTGAAAACAATGAATTATTTGTAAATAAGTATCATTATATTAGTTTTACAAATGAACTATTTATTGCTGAAGAGTCTTACAATAGGACGAAACAACCATTGAGTACTTATAGGTTTTCCATAATGATCTAACTTCAATTGATTTATGATTTCAATTATTCAGAAAAAAAATTACTGTAATATCCATAAAAAACTTCTTCTGATACTAACTAGTAGATATATATGCTCACACTAGTGACTGACTTATAAAAGTATTTCATAGAGTTCTAATGAAAAGCAATGACTAGTGAAGTTTAATTGGATCTGTTGTGAGATAGTAACTGATTGATAACAATCGTGAATGTTTTATTCAATTTTGTGGATTAGTTGAAGTTAGACATTAACACCCATTGGATGCTGGCCGGTTCAATGATCTAATGATTAAGCGTTAACACGCCAGATTAATAGGTGTTGGATTCGAATCCCGCGTTGCGGGGTCATGGATGTACACCGTTGAGGAGTGTCACGATAAGATGAAAAGGATGTCTAGTGCTTTCATGATGGTCTAATTTCAATTGTATCATGATCTCAACTATTAAAACAGACCCTTTTGATATTTATTTACTTATTGTGTTTAGATAAACTTCTCTTTTTTTTCGTCATCGTTCTCGACGTCGTCGTTGTTGTTGTTGAACATTTCATTCTAAACAGTAGTTAAGTAAAAAATTTCCAAAATCCCTAGTTCATTGTTTTTTTTTTGTTTTTTTTTCTAGACAATCTATGAACTAATCAATTTAAAACTAAGAGTTTCTTATTGCTATGATTATTATTATTATTATTATTATTCAGTTTGTTGTCTTGGCTACTATATTCTATACAAGGTGTATCTATTCCATCATCAGCACATATGTATGTTCAATCTACATAAGGGGGGTGTCTATTTCCCCAATAGTAAACAAAAACAAATAAACAAACTTATTTATTTATTTATATGATGATACATAATAATAATAAAAAGCAAATGAGGCCTGGATTTGCGTGCACTATTATGATGACTATTGTTATCAATACTGTTATTATTATTATTCTTTTTAATACTGAAAAATGGGATAAACATTTTATTTAATTGTTTATAAGTTGTTTTACTAAAGGAATTAACTATGGTTTATATTACTTATGTCGATAGACATAAGTAGTATGTATGTATTGTTATTATTTAAACATATAAACATTGATACAAAGAAGGAATCGAATGCATATGTGTCACACTTTGTCATTTCAGTCAGTTCGAGTTGCCATACTACATTAGCACAGAGATGCAGTTGTCAATTTAAATCCTATAGTGGTAGAAGTACTAAGAGTATAAGCAGTAATCGGTTTCTATTGTCTCACTGATCCTAACCACATAGTCTACACCAACCAATATGACTCAGTCCACTTTTCAGTGACTTCATGGATTTGTGTCATGTTTTGGTCTGGTCGTCCTTAGCTTTCTTTCAACCTACTACTACACCATAAAACATCGCACGTCAGGGCAGTCGATGGTTGGGCATATGTAACATGTGTCCCAGCCAATTCAACTGATGAAGTTTCAATACTTCATCAATTGATTTGCCATCCTTACCTGGTACTCATTTATTAACAACTGCACTACATACTCGGCAGTTCAAGGATATACAAGCAAGGTTTCGAAGACACCTATGATCGAATACTAGTGACCTACGAATATCCTCTACTGTTACCGGCCATGTTTCACTGCCATAAAGTAGAAGGCAACGAACTGCTGCGCAGTAAACCCGTTCTTTGGTTGGTAGACATATATCTCGCCTACTTCATAAATGACGCAGGTTGACAAAAGCTAGTCGAGCCTTCTGTATCCGTGTCCTGGTTCACAAACCAAAGCAGGTTATTCTCTTAGGAGTCTGCTAAATGAAACGTAAACTAAAGTTTAGAGAATTTATGTAATATGAATCAAAAAAGATTTGATGAGACTGCAATTTATGAATGACATTTGAGGGACGCTATATTGACCTTGAGAATTTCCAGCTGGTAAAGGTAGATCATCATGGAAAACGTAGAAGTGCTGGATAGCCGCAGGCGACATCGTAGGTGTGCACTTTTGAAGAATCTCCTACTAGGACGAAACGATCATCCAGTACTTCCATGTTGGTCAAATTTTAATTGAATCATGAATTGGATAATTTGTTCTTCATCCATTATTGTTATCCTCTATTCATTACAATCCTTTACTAATCATTTAATTGAGACCATGAACTGATTGATATTAAACCACCATTGAAAACCTAGAAGCACTAGACGACGATTTCATCCTTTTATAGGACTCCTCAGCAATGCGCATTCACGATCCTGCCTCGCCGGATTCAAACCCATGTTCTTCAGTCTGGCGCGTGAACGCTTAACCTCTAGACCAATGAGTTGGTATCCAACAGTGGTCATGTCTAACTTCAACCAATCTACGAAATTATGTGACTATCTTTCATTGTACTGAGGTAGATACCTGTCTCTATCCGATACAGATTAGCTCCACAACTCTATACTGATACTAATTCTTGATTTTATATTACATCATTATAACATATAAACATTCTATTTACCTGTAAACACATTGATAAACCAATACTTGCTTCTAAATTGTATTTATCTAATTTTAAAGCAAATTCATATTCATTTAATGCTTGATTCCATAAATTCATTGAATTCATTTTATTCATTTTTATTTTATAACCTTCATAATCCATTAAACAATTAGCATATGCAATATGTCCTTGTAGAAAATTTGGTTGTTGAATTGTTAAATTATGGAATATCTGTTCTGCTTCAGGATACATTTCAAGTCTAATAATAATAGTAATGTAATGAATAAAAAAGAATATGATAAGAACAAACTCAATTGATACTTCTGGTTACAGGTAACTTCTATGATCTATTAATAGATATCATTGATTGAATTGATAAGTCAATTCAAGCTAGACAGCTATTTCGTCCTAGTAGATAACTCCACAACAGTGCACATTCACGATCCCTCCGCCCCCTTCCCAAGATTCTAAATTAAGAACTATCAGTCTTGCGTGCGAACGCCTAACCTCTACTCTAATGAGCCAGTATACAATGGTGCTGAGGTTTTAGTTCATTGATTTTACAAAACAACTTTCTGTGATCAGATCATATGCTCAAATGTCAGTTCTTCGTTTATTGGGTTATATTGTTATAACCCGCGATATGAATGCAAATAATACTCATCTGTCTTTGCAAAGCAAGAGAAAGATTCCTACAGTTGAAGAATATATGAAACTCAAAACAACTATCTTCAAGCCAACATCAAAGTGAAAATCATCAATACAAACATCGATACAGCTCTACTGTACGGAGCTGAGACGTGCAGAACTACAACAACCATCATCAGAAGAGTACATGGTATTTATAAACAATGGTCTACACAAAATACTCAATATCCGTTGACCGGGTACCGTCAGCATTAGCCTACTGTGGAAGAGAACAAGCCAGCTTCCAAATGAGGAGGAAATTAGGAGAAGTCACAGGAGGATATTAGGACATATATTGCTGGAATCATCAAGCTCCATCACGAGGCAAGCGTTAACCTAGAATTCTGAAGGAAGAAGGTGAAATAGAAGGCCAAAAAACACATTGAGTTGGTAATTGGAAGTAGATTTGAAAAAAGATGAATAATAATTGGAAACAAGTGAAAAGGATTGTCCAGGACAGAGTTGAATAGAGAGTGCTAGTGGCCGATCTATGTTCCTCCACGAGAGGTAACAACCTCAAGTAAGTAAGTACATAAGTCATCTGTTTTCAATCATACCTTAATCACCTTAAAATGTCTTACCTTTGATGACAAATACCAATTGTATACATTAATTTAATAAACAAATCTGACAAAGTCTCATTTTGAATTGTAGAATTCATTAATTTATCCATAATAGTTTTAGCTTGATATAAATCATTGATAGCTTTATGATAGTTTTGATACTTTTCTATATATATAACTGATCTATTAATTAAACTATTCAATTGAACAGATCCATTTAAAGAACCAAATTTAATAGCTTGATCATAATCCTGAAGATTGAATATATATTAAAAAAAAACGAAAAAATAAAGATGAATACTACTTTTGTTTATTCAGTAGTTTAAATAGTAGAGACAAAATAAAGTTGAAAACTTGCTAGTAACATTTCAACCGATGCATTTCACGGCTTGTTATAGATTAAATATTGTAAATTATACATGTTAAAGATACTAGATCCTCAGAACGTACTTGATAAATGCCTTATTTTTTTAAATTCTATGAGCATCAAAAGCGCTCATTTTTAACTTTCATGTCGGATGTCCCACTTGGGAGGAACTTAAATGCTATTGGTTCGTTATCTCTCTTAGTATGCTATTTTGTGCTGTTTTATAAGGACATTTTTATGCTGTATATATATACGCTTGATTTGTGCTTGTCGTCGTTGTTCATGCTTCTGGCTGCTTGTGGAATATATTTCCCTTTTCCAAACTTGGACTTCTTTTTCAAGTTAGCTGGGTTGGGATGCGTCAGAATAGTTGGCTTATCTGACAATGTGTCACACAGTCTTCGTTCCGTTCTCATATTAGTTGAATTCAGAATCTCTTCAAACATAGCAAATTTGACGACAAGGCTGGTGTACACAAGTGGAATTACTTCTCGAGCAGCAACTGAAACTTATCTAGATGTTAGCAGATGCAAAAATTGCGCCTAACACACAACCAAGCACTTCTTATTCTGCTACTGCTGTACCTTCAGCTGATGGTATTGCGAGCACTATCGCTGAGTTTCATTACGATCTTTAATCCATTGTCATATTTGATATGTGGTTTCAGCGTTATGAAGACTTATTGAAATTTGATTTTGCTAATCAATAAGACACTAGGGAAGTTCGCTTGCTGCTTCGGAATCTGGGTCCTAGTGAACTAGATAGATATTGTAACTTAATTCCACCGTCCATTCATTGAGACAACAGTTCGGAGATAACTCCTCACTGTCCAACACACGCTATCGATGTTTGAAACTGACTATGAACGAAGACGTCAATCTTCTGATTCATGTGGGCAGTGGCTGAAGTTAGGCATTCACACCAGTCTAGAGGTTAATCGCTCGCGCGCGAGATCGAAGGCCCAGGGTTCAAGTCCTGCAGGCGGGGTCGTGGATGAGCACTGGTGAGTCGTCCCACACTAGAACAAAACGGCCAATCAGTGCTTCCAGATTTTCCATGGTGGTTTAGCTGTAATTGAAACATTAAATCAACTATTAATTAAGTATTTATCACTCAATGTATAAGCAATCATACAGTTGATTTTTGAATATATTTTGTATTGAGTAAAGACAGAATGGATTGTTTTCCTTTTAACATCATGATGTCTTCAGTAATTGATTGTGAGTTATTGTTTTCTTTACCAGTTTTGAACGGTTTATAAGCCTTATTTACATGTCGTTCTCAGTAAGGTTTACTCAAATTGATCGGAATTCATCAATCTCGGCTAAAATAAACCTGAATTTTGCTATCTTGAACTCAAGTGAATTTTAAGTATACCGCATATACATAAATGACGTTTACTTTCTATATTCATAGTATTAAATTCTTCTGGAATCTGTGAAGCAGATAATATTCGTTATTTTCAATTCTCCATTTGAGAACCGGAGTTCAACAAGGCTACCTGCTTTTCCACTTCGTCTTTCCTCTGGTGGTGGTTGACTAGATTATGCAGACCTCCACATCTGAGAGGAAACACGGAATGCAAAATGGACAGTTCGGAATCATTTAGGAAATTTGGACCTCGCAGATGATCTGCTCCTGGTATCTCACACACATCAACAAATGCAGATGAAGACAACTAGTGAAGCAGGAGCTTCTGCACCAGTAGGCCTGAACGTTCACAAAAGAAAAAGCTAGATCTTCAGATACAACACTGAGAACATGAAACCAATCACACCTGATGGAGAAATTGGAAGATGTGAGCTACCTGGTCAGCATCATCCATAGACAAGGAGGATAGAATGAGGATGCAAAGGCAGGGATTATCAAAGCATGTGTACCATTTCTACATTTGAAGAACATGCGGAGCTCAAAATATTTATAAACCAATTTCAAAGTAACAATCTTCAATACGAACGTCAATACAGTCTTACTGTATGAACCTGAAATATGGAGGACTACTACAACCATCACCAAATATGTGCAAGTATTTATAAATGATTGTCTGCACAAGATACTCATTGTCTGTTAACAGGATGCTATCAGTAACAGATTTCTGTGGGAGAGAACAAACCAACTTCCAGATGAAAAGGATATTAGGAAACGATATTTGAAGTGGATAGAATATACATTTCTGAAATCATCAAACTGCATCATGAGGCAAGCATTAAATTGGAATGTTGAAGAGAAACAAAAAAAGAGGTAGGCTGAAACACAAACTAAGTCGGGGATTATAGGTAAACATGAAAAAGATGAATAACAACTGGAAACAAGCGGAAAAGATTTCTTAGGACAATGTTGGATAGAGAGTGTTGATGGTCGGCCTATTCTCATCCATGAAGGGTAACAGGTGTAAGTAAGTAAGCAATTCTTCAAGTCATTAAATCATTGTGTTTATTTTGAAGCGTCTCCAAAGCATAAACTTTGTTTTGATCAAAAGAATTCAAAATCACAACTTACTCATTATCACTTCATAATACACTTCAAAGAAAACTGATTTAGATACTACTGAAAATATTTGTAAGTAGATACATTATAAATTTGAAAATAATTGACTTACTTCAATAGCTTCATTCCATTTATTTTGTGTTTGACGACATAAACCACGATTATAATAAGCTAAAGAAGATTTTTGATCTTTTTCTATAGCTATATTTAAGTCAGCTTCAGAAAAATCCAAAGTTTTTAATAAATATTTATAGACACCACTAAAGTAGGAATAAAAAAAATAGTTAACAAAAAGAAAAACATGAGCTGAAGTCCTGGAGTGAACATCAACTCTTAAATGAAAATACATCCAGCTGACCAGTCCCAAATAGGACGAAACATGCGTCAAACTGGATTTAACTGTTAGTAACTATTTGTCTTTTCTTAAAAAGCTGATGAATCAAGGTTATATCGAGGTAATCCGCACAGGATATACGTAAGCCAATATGAGGCTAATCAATTGCAGTCATAAATAGCAATGGGAAGATACAAGTAAAACAACACCAAGTGAATTTAGATAAGAATTTGAGTTTATGGATTAAAAATGCTTCAACAGTGCATAAAATATTGATTCGACTTTCATTCAATCGAAGATAATCCAAGAAAAGAAGCCCGTGCCAAAACGATTCGTCCAACATTTGATTCCTCACTTTAGTGGTATTTTTTTTTATTTACATATGATTATGATCACATTGCCAATAAGTAATTATCATAACTATATTTCTATGTAGAGCTAAAGGTTTCATATGAGACGAGAGGTTTGCCATTGATATTGTGAATGGTTCAGCATTGCTTTGGAAAGTTTTGCTGACTGTTCATAAACAAAATTGGTTCGCTGGTTAACCGATTTCATTCATACTGGTGATTGCTTTTCAGTGTTTTCGAGGGCTATCGTCATTGGGACATTGTAAGGCATGTCACCATTGCTAACAATAATGAGTTTGACTGTCATGTAAGCGAAATAGGTCAACTTTGACCTGTTCGTGATATGTATAATTGATTCATGCGATCATTGATCGGAAATAATTATACATGTGATGTGAATGTGTGTATGCATGGTGTGAATTTTCCACTAGGGACCTTGATACATGTGTGGTTGTGCCACAGCATTGAGCTGTACTATTCAGATTGTAGTGTTAAAGCCTATATGGTGTCTGGTTCTCCTGTTAAACGGGATTGAACTGTACTGTTTGGGTTATCACATGAAACTTTGGATGATATCTGGTTCTCATGAAAACCAATGTAAATTTAATCTGGCCCACAAGGGTATATTATATAATTATGAATAATTATCATAATCAGTTATTTGTAAAAAAAGAAACGTGATGGTTTTAATTTTATTACTATTTCATTAGTTTTGTTACTAAGCGGTTTGGGTTTTGTTATATTTTCTCTCTTACGGTTATAAGCCAGCTATTCCTATTGCTTAGTATTCACGGACACAGATTCACTCGACAAGTCCTCAAATCAGAACACGGTTGAAAAGGAAGAAGATTATATTCCAAATAACAAGGTTAGATGGAAGCACGAAGCACAAAAGGTAAACCGTTAGTATATTTATAGTTTTTACATAAGGAGAATCTAGAGTATTCTCCATGTATCGACTAGCGCTGATTGGATAAGAATCAGCCAATCAGCGTGCGCCAAAGCAATCATGCATTGAGCATGCTTAAATCCAATCTATGTCCCACTAACAGGTTTCATAATCAATTCTCATTTTTCTGTTATAGTTTGCTTCGTACAAAACCTGGTTTAAGTACATACCTTAAACGTTTATCAGTATAAATGCACATTGTATTGTTTACTTGAATCTTGTCATTGAGGTTTTATTGAAACTGTATTTGATCAGTCTGTGATTGGCAAATATGTGCATTCTGTGCGCATTGCCTAAATAGTACCTTAATTCACAATCATTATAAGCAAAGATGGATGGTGGCTAGTAGTGAAATATCAGGCTATTAGGAATCAGTAATTGAGTAGATAAAACGATGGCGTTTAAAGCTAACAGTACTGGATTTGAGTCCCAGAGTGAACATCAACTATTAGATGTAGGTACACTGGACCACCATAGTCTAGAGATCGAAGGTCCTGAGTTCAAATCCCGCGTATGGGGACGTGGATATACACTGCTTAGGAGTCCCATACTAGAATGAAATGGTTGTCCAATACTTTGAGGTATTCCATGGTGGTCTAGATTAAATCAACTCATGAATTCAACTATTAAATTACTACAATCTACACCTATTCTAATAATATCTGATTTAAAAAGGCATGTCATATTTGCACAAGAGACCTTTAAATGAAACCTTGAGAATAGAGGTTCTTATTAAGTGTGAATTAAAAATGCAAATTTTCTATTAGTATCAACTTACTTCTAGATATAAATGTTATTTATTGTTCATTGGACGTATATTTTCTCATTTTTCTTATTTAAAACATTCTACTAATAAGTAGTAAACATTATTGTATCGAAGACTTTGACTTAAAGATCTGATCAACAAGTCAGTGGAGCAACGTCAGAAGATACAGTCCCATGTTACCCGATTACCAACAATAAATTCATACGCTAATTGTTCCTTCAGAATCCTGGAGCTCATGTACATCATTGGTTTGGAAAAAGGGTTTTCCAACTCCTCTAGATGGACTCTGTGGGTCAACCGAGTCGGTTAAATTGCAGGACATTCGCTTTTCGTCCTCTCAATTTTGCAATCAACATCCATGGTGTAAGAAATTAGTAAGTAGAACTTCGCTGATAGTGGTTGTATGCAGGAAAGTCCTAGTATGAGACTTCACAGCAGTGCACATTCACGATTCTGCTCGCGAGATTCACAGGCAAGACCTTCAGTCTAACTTTTCGATCACTAAACCGGCATTCAACGGTGTTAATGTCTAACTTCAACCAATCTACAAAATTGCTTCATCGTCTATTATTATCTTCAGTCAGTCACTATCTCACATCAGATCTGAGATCACTACTTCTTTCTAGAATCCCAGAAAATACCTTTTGAAACCAGTTACTAGTGAACATATAATGATTAGTATCAGAAAGAGGGTTTTTGTGAAGAGTCATATATTAGGACGAAACATTCATTCAATGCTTCCAGGTTTTCTATGATGATCTAACATTAATTGACTTATGAACTCAACTATTAACAGACTATATTATCAATTAAAATATTATTATTTAACAATTACCGATAAATCCATATTCTTGTCCATTCTGATCTTCTATGAATAATTTCATTACAATTAAGTATAGCTTTTGTATAACGTTGATTTATGCCAAAATATATAATTCGTGTTAATAAGCATTGATCAATTACATCAACACATTTAATAGGTTCATTGAAATAGATATGATCAACTGAAGACTTTTCAGAATGAATTAAAGCTAATGCATGACTTATATCATCTAATACATTATCATTGAAATCAGTAGGTAAGATAGTTCTTTCTTGAAGGTGTATAGCTATCAATTGACATGTAGATTGAGCACGATATAAGTAAACCTTATGAATAAAATTAATTTATTGAAGTATCAGTATGTAATATATTTAAATAGAATCAATTTAAATGGTTGAGATAATCAGTTAGTTGAAACTAGACTACCATAGAAAACCTGAACGGCCGTTTCGTCCTATTGTAGAACTCATCAGCAGTGTGCATCTACGATCCTTGGTCCCGCGAGATTCGAACACAGAACCTATCAGCCTCTTGAGCGAACGCTTAACCACTAGACCATTGAGATATCAACTCACTGATGACAATGGTTGATGTATTGATCAATTTCGCAGATTAGTTGAAGTTAGACATTAACACCGTTAGATGCTGGCTCAGTGGTCTAGTGGTTAAGCGTTTGCTCAAGAGGCTGATAGGTACTGGGTTTGAATCTTGCGGGGAGCGGGATCGTGGGTGCGTACTATTGAGAAGTTCCATACTAGGACGAAATGGCCGTCCAGTGCTTTCAGGTTTTTGATGGTGGTCTAGCTTCAGTTGACTCATGATCTTAACTATTAAAATTACTGTAATATCCACAAAAAATCCCTTCTGACTTTGAGTAGTTTGAAATTAGGCATCATGTAAGGAATGTAGTTGTCATGGAATATTAAGATTCTAAGTGGTAAAACATTGCAAAAACAGTTTTTTTAAAACATTTAAGCAGGGGTTCTATGTTCAATTCATTAGTGGTACATTCGAATAATAATAATAATAATAATAAATACTTACATACATAAAACATTCATGAATATACATACGTACATACAGCATACATATACATACACATGTACACACACATACATACATATATACATACATAGCTGCACCGCGACTGTTGTTGCTACCTTGATGTGGTGGTCGGGCTTGCCTATCGTGATGAAACAATCAGGCTATACTGGCTGAAACAACCGTTCCTCATGGTCTTACCATGCCAGACAGGTCGGTTGAAGAGCGGTAAGACTAAAAGCAACAAATCCAAGGTCCGAAGGCGAAGTCGTACTGCTGACTGTATAAAGGTGTGACAGCAGTAAGGTGTTTCCTTCAGAGAACCTACATAACAGAGATGCGGCCTTCCTACAAGGAGGCGTGGGGTTAGAAAAGGTCAACCCTAAAAATGCACACCTCGCCTTATCCTGCCGATATCCGTTTCCGGCGGTAAGGTGTCGACAAGTACGGAGCTAACACAAAAACTACTCATAAAAAGGTCTTATGTGACCGACCTCAAGCAGCTGTCCCTTGGACACTGCGGTCACGCTCTCAAATCACTATGAACACCTCTAATCCAATTTCTTTTACAGATACCTCCAGCAGAACCCTTCCACGGTGTGGGCAACTGGGAAGTGATAACTGCCCTCATACCTCTAACAGCACTCAAGACCACTGACTGACATACCCACATACATATATACACGCGTACCTACGCACACATACATACACATATACATACACAAATACATACATACATTCACATACACAAACATACATACATATATACTTACATGTGGTCTATGACAATCATAATAAATGAAACTTGTAAAAGCTTGAATAGCTGATATATAATCTCCTATTTTCATATAATATTGACCAAGATGATTATAAATTTCAGCTTTCTTAGATTTTTTATAATTCTATAAATATTATGTAATAAATAAAAGATAAAACAATGATAGTTAGATCCTTTATTAAGATAAGATTGATGTAAGATATATGGAATTATTTTATTTATTATTTATTTTATTTTAACACATAAGTATAGGTACAGGGAGGCACCAAATACATATGCGCCACACAAATCTCAATTGATTTGTGTGAGGGCTGTGATACTGCCCGGGTGCCCAAACCGAAGCAGGTGGTTTTCTTAGGGGACCACACCCCGAGCCTTTGACCTGAACGTCTGACACACAAGGCAGTGGAGCATCGTGAGGAGATGCAGTCCCATGGTAGCCGGTGACCAACGATTGGTTCATACGCCATTTGTTCCCTCAGGCAGGATACTGGAGCCCATGTGCACCATTGGTTCGGGGTCCGGTTAAAGCGCCAGACATTCGCTTTTCGTCCTCTCATTTTCGTAAACAACACCCCCGCCCCGAGAAGGCAGTGAGTAGGACTTCCCTGGCAGGTGCTATATACACATGGACATGTGAGAGCATTTCGAGAGGGAGAGCGGACTCTCCCCACTCTCGGCCGTACCAGGGCATTTGGGGGCAAGAAATATGGAATACAGTATATTGAATAAATAGTTTTAGGATATCATTTGTCAATAGATTATCGACAGGCTCTTAGATTTGATTAATGATGAAAGTATGAGAGTGAATAGTGTTGAGTAATGACAATCAATTATAATTATGTAATCATATTCATTTTGTTGTTGTCAGTATTTTCATTTCATGATAGAGAATAGTTATTATATACTGATTTATTGGAATTAGTTCATTCATTTGAAGTGATCCACACAGTAGACACCTAACATCATAATCAACTGGATGGATTCTGTAAGGATTGATTATGCATAGACCAAATTACGACACTACGGATCATCGTTGAACAATTAGTTGAGTGGAACTTGTCATTATACATCAACTTCATTGATTATGAAAAGGTGTTTGACAGTGTAGATGGGAGAACTTTATGGAAATTAACTCAACACAATGGAGTCCCTGAGAAGAATGTTAACATTAACCGAAACCTATACGACGGACTATAGTGCTAAGTCGTGCGTGGAGGATAGCTAACAGATGCATTCCATGTAAGAACCGGAGTAGATAAGAGTGTGTACTCTCCCCTTTCCTCTTTCTTCTGCTGATCGACTGGACTATGGAGACCTCGGCATCTGAGTGAAAACATGGAATATTATGGACAGATCAGAGCCAACTAGACGATTAAGACTTCGCAGATGACCTAGCCATCCTATACCATGCACGCGAACAAATGCAGGTGAAGACAGCCAGTGAAGCAGCAGTCTCTGTATCAGTAGGCTTCAACATACGCATGAGGAAAACCAAGGTTCTCAAATTCAACATGGAGAACGCAAACTCAACCATACTTGATGGCGAAATTCTGAAAGATGTGGAATCCTTCACGCACCTGAGAAGCATCATCCATAGACAAGGAGGATCCAACGCAGACGTAAAGGCCAGGATTAGCAAAGTAAAGGCCGCGTTCCTATGACTGAAGAACATATGGAAGTCAAAACAACTTTCAACTAATATCATAGTCACGGTCTTCAATATGAACACCAAGACAGTTCAACTGTACAGAGCTGAAACTTGGAGCACTACTACAACCATCATCAAAAAGGTACAAGTATTTATATTTAGTTGTCTTCGCAAGATACTCAATTTACATTGACCGGATACTATCAGCAACAGTCTACTGTGGGAGAAAACAAACCAGTTTCCAGCTGAAGAAGAAATTACGACGTTAGGAGATGCAGTTCCATGGTAGCCAGTGACTAACGATTGATTCATACGTCATTTGTTCCCTCAGAATCCTGGAGCTTATATACACCACTGGTTTGGAATGAGGGTTTTCTAACTCCTCCAAAGTGGATCCTCAATATCCATCAATCCGGTTAAAGCGTCAAACATGGTCTAGTTGTATTATTCCGACACCAGACAATGTGTTTTAAACGTTATTTAAGTCCTAACGCTTCAGACTGGCCTATTTTGTTTACTACCCTACATATATGTTGTATGCAGTATAAGGTATAAAGCTATATGGCTATGCAGAGCTGAAGGTCTCATATGAGGCTGGAGGTTCACCATTGATATTGTGGATGGTTCAGCATTTCTTTAGCAAGTCTTGCTGACTGTTCATGCACAAAATTGGTTTGCTGGTTAACCGATTTCATTCATACTGGTGGTTACTTATCAGTGTTTTCGAGGGCCATTGTCATTGGGACATTGTAGGGCATATCGCCATTGCTAACAATAATGAATTTGACTGTCATGTAAGCGAAATAGGTCAACTTTGACCTGTTCATGATATGTATAATTGATTCATGCGATCATTGATCGGAAATAATTATACATGTGATGTGAATGTGTGTATGCATGGTGCGAATTTTCCACTAGGGGCCTTGATACATGTGTGGTTGTGCCACAGGATTGAGCTGTACTATTCAGATTGTAGTGTTAAAGCCTCGGCGTTATTCGGCTCTCCTATTAAACAGGGTTGAGCTGTACTATTTGTGTTGTCACGTGAAAGTCTGAATCTCGTGACAACCAATGTAAATTTACCCTGTCCGACATAGGTATATTATATCACTGAACTTTTATATATAACTTAAGCATATTTAACAAATCTATCAATATACAAAGTTTAACTTACTAATTTCTTTAAACTACTTATTAATAATTCAATAGAATTCATTGTTTTTTGTTGTTTATCCATTATGAGACCAAGTAATAATATGTTATTTAATATCAATTGATGCTTTGTATCTTCCAACAGAATGGTTTCAGCTTCTTTATATTTCTTCAAATAGTAATATGCTAATGCCTATGTAGTAATAAAGAACAAAATGAAAATAAAGTGAGAAGATAAATTGATAAATGACCATTGAACAACACACCAAAATGTTCTTAGAATAACCATCTACTTATCAAGGTTAAATGAAGGTTATATATTAGTATGAAGGATTGAAATTAAGATTTATCGTTGAATATTAGGGTTTTAGAATTAGATTCAATGTTATTTCATAACAAACTAATATCAACTATAATGCCAAAATGGTATTCAGTCAAATGAGTGATTGAATTTTGCGCGAAAAATTAAAATCTGTTATCTTAAATCTGATTGGTTCGTTCATAAATTATTGTTTCGTCTTACTTATTTACGCATGTTACTCCCAATGGAGCATAGGCTGCTGATCAGCATTTTCTAATCCATTCTGTCTTGGACCTTCCTTTCCAGTTCTGTCTAATTTTTTTTTTCATTTTTCTCATATCTGTTTCTATTTCTCGACGTAATTTGTTCTTTGGTCTTTCTCTTTATCACTGGTTTCGAGGATTTCAAGTGAGAGCTTGCCTTGTGACGCAGTTGAGTGTATCGTCTCGCCAATAGAATATAATGTGAGAGCATTAAAAAGTTCTGAGTTCGAATCTCGCGAGGTGAGATTATGGATGCACACTAGTGACGAGTCCCATACTAGACCGAAACGGCTATCCAATTCACCCAGGTTTTCTATAGTAGTCTAGTTCATGAATTCAACAAAACCAGTCGAAATGTTCGTGGAATTAAACAGTTACTGATGATTTCATAAATACTATTTCATTTTCTGTTATCTTAATAACTTTATAAATCGTTTTTCTATCATATTGTATTGAAGGAGAACACAGGAGAGGACAATCAATAAAATTGAAAAAAAACCATACTCCAATATTTCATTTGCAAAATGTTCATTCATTGTCTCAGACTTCATTGTTACCTGCATTTCTTCGATCTTCTCAATCTTCTGCTGTAAGGCATTCTAGTTCTGAATAGTGTTATATACGACTTATATGGACATAAGTAACATATACAACATACCATAGATCTGGTTTTATGCAAGTTAGCATTCTTTATCAAGGTTTACCTATGATCTTGACGAGATTTGTGTTCTTATGAAAGTGAAGTGTAGTGCGTACTACTAATATCGACTGATATAAGTAGTATATATCACTGATCGAAAGTATAATACTTGGCGGTAGATGATTGAAAAACATAGAAGAGAAAACAATAAGAACATAGAATGATTGATTCAGAAATGAAGGAGCAGTGAAGTTTAAGACAATTGATGGATATTTTTGTAAAATGAAGTATCTATTGTATAGTTCTCATGCCGGTGCTGTCATTCGCTACAGTAGTACTGAGATATAATGAGATTTTCTTGAACTAGTATTGTAATACTACTAGAAACTTTGTTCTGAAGCAGTTTGTGATAACAGTTTATAGTGCATCAACCGGAAGAAGATAGACAATCCAAAAGCGATCGGCTTTTTATTTTATTATCAACAGTGTTCACATATAACATTATTTACTGGATGTAAGTCAAGATGATTAAAATACTATCCTAGCAAACTAGTTTTGTTTGAGCATGCATAATCTATGTTTGGAATTTCAATCAATTTCTTGTGTAGATAAGATATTACAAAATACTACGTCCCCCCCCAATACCCTGGTACGGTCGACGGTGGAGGGAGTCACTTCTCTCTCTATATATATTGAAATGCTCGCACATGGTCACGTGTATACAACCACTGTCAGTGAAACTCTTAATCACTAACTTCTCGTGGCACTAATGTTGTTTACGAAATTGAAAGGATGAAACGGGAATATCCGATGATTTATCTAGGTTGGTGGATTTAGAGAATCCGCATAGGGTAGTAGGAAAACACTGATTTCAAATCAATGATTTACATGAGCTCCAACATCCTAAGGAAATAAATGCCGTATGAATCTATTGTTGGTCACTGGCTACCATGGAAATGCATCTCTTTAGGTTGCTCCACTACTTCGTGGATTATACCTGTAGATCAAATGCTATGGATGCGGCCCGGTAAGAACACCACCTGCTTCGGTTTGTGCTATAACTTGTGACCTTGTGCTCTATTTTATATACGACGTGATGATACCACATATTATAGAACAGTGAATTATCGATCGGATCAATGACGCATAAAAAACAAACGAACAGTTTACGGTCTCTATCGGTCCTTCTTTATGATTAGTCCTGTTTGCTTGTTGAGTCCAGGACACCAGTCTCAGCCTCCGTGATATGAATTATGTATTTCAAACATACTCGGTTTATATACAAACCAAACAAACCACATCGTATCATAAATGGAAAATAATATTTGTACAAGATCTAGCCAAAAGTGGCTGTGAATGTTGAAGACTGTAATGAATAGACTGGGCATAACTTAACAATGGCAAGTCGTATGATAATAGCCTATGGGTCAAAATGAAGCTTATACTAAGAAGAATATGAATATACATAGTTTAATTACTTAAAAATTACATAATAAACAAATACGTATATCATATTGGTCCATAAATAGATCCCAACAGTTACTATCCCTTTATTCTCATCGGGATATAATAGTTTGTGCAGCCGATTAGTATCACAGCTTTCACACAAGTCGAATGACAAAGTGTGGCGCACATACATCTGGTTCCTCCTCGTATCAATGTTTATGTGTTCAAATAAATGATAATAATGAACGAAATTACTTACTTACTTACGTCTGTTACTCCCCCTAAATCGAGCATAAGCCGTTGACCAGCATTCTCCAACCCACTCTGTCCTGGACCTTCCTTTCTAGTTCTGTCCAATTTTTGTTCATTTTTCTCATGTCTATCTCCATTTCCCGGCGTAATGTGTTCTTTGGTCTTCCTCTTCTCCCCTGGCCTTGAGGATTCCATGTGCGGGCTTGTCTTGTGACGCAGTTCGGTGCTTTCCTCAATGTGTGTCCTATCCACTTCCAGCGTTTCTTCCTGATTTCTCCCCCCACTGGGATCTGATTTGTTCACTCCCACAGTAGGTTGTTGCTAATAGTGTCTAACCAACGAATCCGAAGTATTTTGCGTAGACAACTGTTAATAAACACTTGTATCTTTTGGATGATGGATTTCGTAGTTCTCCAGGTTTCCGCCCCATACAGTAGAATTGTCTTGACATTTGTATTGAAAATTCTGACCTTGGTGTTGGTTGAAAGTTGTTTTAAGTTCCAGATTTTCTTCAGTTGTAAATATGCTTCTCTTACTTTTCCACCTGCGGTCCCCCTGGGAGCTACTGCCGGTCCTAAGCCCGGATAAAGGAGGAGGGTTGGGAATGGGAGTTAGTGACTCCATCCCATAGAAAACGAACTCGCTAAAAAAAACGCTAACCATAAAAAAATTATTCGATAAACAAAATACTACACATATATTTACCATTTGTTTAGCTTGTTTATGATTTCCATATTCTTCTGCTAAACTTAAATATTGTTGAATAGAACGTGGAATCAATTGAGCATTTGTTAATTTATGTAAATAATTTGCAAGTAATAAATAAGTAGTTGCTAAATGAGGATTTAAATGTATAACACGTTGTATATCAAATATTGCCTTGTTAAACTATAGAAAAGAATCAGTAGAAAAAACAAAAACAAAATAGAGCATTTCATTCAATATGGGGTGGGGTGGCGGTGGTTATGGAGTCAATTAAAGCTAGACAATCATGGAAAACCTGGAAGCATTGGATGGTCGTTTCGTCTTAGTATGAGACACTTTTAGAGGTTAACTGTACGCTCGTAAGATTAATAGGTCCTGGGTTCGAATCCGGTGGATGCGTACTGATAAGGAGTCCGATACCAGGATGAAACGGCCATCCAATCGTTCCAGGTTTTTCATGATGGTCTAGTTTCAACTGACTCATGAATTCAACTATTATAATAATAATCACAATGAAATTTCATCTCACAATTTGTAATGGAATGTCAGCTATGATTTCATTAATCACTGCCTTATAACAGTTTAGATTAGTCAACATAGGATGCAAATGAGAGAAATGATGCTTTTAGTTATGGATTCATTTAGACCGGTGTTCACACGATAATGTAGTCGATAAAATTGGATCAGCTATAAAGGCTTAGATAAATATGATAGTTTTTACAGTTTACTTACGCCTGTTACTCCTAGTAGAGCATAGGCTGCTGACCAGCATTCTCCGACCCACTCTGTCCTGAGCTTTCCTTTCCAGTTATATCCGATTGTTGTTCATCTTTCTCACATCTATCTCCATTTGTCGACGTAATGTGTTCATTGATCTTCCTCTTCTCCTTCGGCCTTGAGGATTTCAAGTGAGGGCTTGTCTTGAGACACAGTTGGGTACTTTCCTCAATGTGTTCTATCCATTTCTAGCGTTTCTTCCTCCTTTGGAATTTGATTTGTTATCTCCCACAGTGTCCTCTGAATCATGGCTTTCGTAGTTCTCCAAGTTTTCACCCCTTTACAAAAGAACTGTCTTGACATTTGTATGGAAAATTTTAACTTTGGTGTTGGTTGAATGTTGTTTTGAGTTCCAGATGTTTTTCAATTATAGACATTCTGCCATCTCTTTGCCGATTCGCGCCTTCACATCTGCATCAGATCCACCGTGTTCATCAAGGATGCTGTCCAGATATTTAAATTTTTTCTACTTACTTCAAAGCTTCTCCGTCAAGTGTGATTTGATTGGTGCATGTTGTGTTTTATCAGACAATCTTGCTTTTCCCTTTGCGTATGTTGAGATCTATTGCTGCTGAGGCTGCTGCTACACTGGTCGTCAACTCTTGCATTTGTTGATGCATATGTGATAGATCATCTGCGAATTCTAGATCTTCCAACTGCATCCTAGCTGTCCACTGTATCTCATGCTTCCTCCCAGATGTTGATGTCTTCGTAATTCAGTCGATCACCAGGAGGAAGAAAGTAATCAACTTTGTCTGACACCGATCTTTACTTGGAATAAGTTTGTGTGCTGTCTCCCATGCACGACTTTGCATTTTAATCCTTCATAAGAATTCCATATGATATTGGCTATCTTCTCAGACACGCCGTAGCGTCGAATATGCCTCCATAATGTTGTTCTGTCCACGCTACTACTTAATAATCATCTATGTTATGTGTGAATAATAGATTATAGCAGGTCATTATACAATCAATTTTGATTATGGTTAAATTTTGTTAAGCCTTTTTATTAACTTACTTAACAGACTATGTTATTCGAACAGTAACAATCCGCGTATTTGTTAGTACTATTATGATCACTATCTTGTCTGTGTAGACGTGTACTCTTGATCATATATGACAGCCTAAGCATATCTCTCTCTGGCTTGATTGTTGATAGTCTAAATATCGCTCGATAAATCATTCTCTTCTCCATGTATATATGTACCCGAATCCTATTATTAGCCTTCACTTTGCCTAGCTGCGCCTTGATTAGATTTGGCTATAAATTAACCACGGTATTCGCTCGTATACATACATGTGCCACTTTGCTTCAAATTCGCTCAATGTGCTCATGACTTTGTTGTCCGTTCTATCCACTGGAGTCGCCGCTTCTTATTGCCTGTTGATTTTAAACACCTTCGGGATTTATGTAATTACGGTTATCGAGGTGATTGATTAACCAAGATAAACCATTACAAGATCTATTTCATTAAATACAACGCAAAAGTATGGCATTGATCAAATGTAAGATCTCATTTAATATGGAAAATGGTATATCACTATCAAATTGTAGACCGTTCTTATTGACCAATTCTTAAGAGGCCACACGCGGAGCCTTTGACCTAATGGTCTGATCCATAAGACAGTGGAGCAACGTCAGGAGATGCAGTCCGATGGTAGCCGGTGACCAATAATTAGTTCATACGTCACCAACTCCGTCAGAAACCTGGAACTCATGTAAATCATTGTTTTTGAAGTCAGGATTTTCCAACTCCCCTATGTGAATCCTCTGTGTCCACCAACTCGGTTAAAGCGCCGGATATTCACTTTACGTCCTCACAATTCCATTAACAACACCCATGGTGTGAGAAAGCAGTGAGTAGGACTTCCTTGTCAGTGACTGTAAACGCGTGGCCATATGAAAGCATTTCGAGAAGGAGTGCTGACTCTGCCCACTGGAATGTAATAGTAATAATCTAAACTTCAGTTGTACATAAGATTAACAAAAAGAGGAAATTTCTTCTACAAACTTACTTGATTTGATTGATAATACGCTTCTGCTCTACATAATAACAATTTTATATTGGGTATTGTTTCTTTATGTATTCCTTCTGTATACGCTTGAATAGCTCTATGAATATACACTATAACATAATAATGTAAACTAACCTAGTTGTTAGATTCAATTGCATATAGGTTAATCCTAACAAACGGTAAATATCAGTTGTATGAGGAGATCCATTATTCAAAGCTGATTGAAAATCATGTACTGCCATTTTATACCTAAACAATAAAAATCCAGTGAAATAAATTTGGAGATAGAGAGAGAGAGAGAAAAAAGGGACATGAAGAATTCAGAAGATTAGAATTTAGGAGAACACAAAGAGTGAATGCACCTGAGCCATTGCAAACGATTTTGAGTCATGTCATTCAAGGTCTTTAACCACCGGTTTCTGTCATCTTGCTGATCCCAATCAGATAGTCTACACCTACCAACATGGCTCAGTCCATTTGTCAGTGACTTCATGGATTTGTACCATGTTTTGGTCTGGCCGCCCCTAGCTTTCTTCCAACCTATTCATACACCATTGAATATAGCACGTCGGGAGAGTCGCTGGTTGAACATGCGTAACACATGTCCTAGCCATCTCAACTGATGAAGTTTCACTACTTCGTCAGTTGGTTTTCCATCCTTACCTAGTACTCATTTTCTAACAACTGTATTACATACTCGGTGGTTCAAGTACATACGAGTAATGCTTCGAAGACACCTATGAACATATAAATATGTGGAAAGACTAAAATTCTAAGGATATCAGAGGAGCTTTCAGTCATTCAGTTTGTTACAAAGTAGATCCAGGCACATATATATGCATCGGTCCAAGTTACCACACCTCATTACCATAACAATATGAAAACCGGATTCATAATAGTAGTTACTTCGATGGTACTAAAAAAAGATTCCATATAACGATGTGATACAGGGAGAGAGAATTAGTTTGTAGAAAGAAAAGTATCAAGTAATTTTTATCTTACGGTTTAAGGGGAGACAAATAGTATATACACCCACGCCATTATGTTACCCAGAGTCTTCAACCACTGGTTACGATATTCTCGCGGACCCCGACCAATTAGTCTGAATCTGTCAACATGGCTAAGACTAGAAGTTAGTGACTTTATAGATTGATGCTGCACATTTTGGTCTGGTCACCCCTAATTTTCTTCCAATTGTTTCTGACACTTTTCAGCAATGCGTGCCATATTAGTCGTGGTTGTTCATGTGTAATACGTGGCTGAACTATATCAGTCGCTTTCGCCATTGGTAACGTAAGTTAGCAAAAGCCAAACGAGCTTTCTAAGTCCGTGCATACATTTTGTCAGACACCAACTCATTAGGGTTGATCCAACTTCCCAGATAAATGAAGTTCTTGACGCGTTCGTCTACTTCAATTCTTATCCTTAGTTCATATGTTGACGCAATCCAGTTTGGATGCATCTAGATGTATGGTGATATTTTCTGTGAGACTTGATACTAATAACTATTATTTAAAATATTAAAACCTAATATCCTAGCCTATAGAGTCAGTAAGTGATTTTGGTTACTTATTTAGGCATAAACTTCGAGATTCAACTACTGACAGAATCTTGTTGAAAAGATTCCAGTTTACCAACACATCTATAATCATTTAGTCTTAATCATTCAGTAATATTACAATCACGAACCGATTAATGTTAGACCATCATCGAAAATCTAGAAGCAATGAACTGCTGTTTCATTCTAGTATGGAGCGACTCAGTAGTGCACATCTACACTCCTATGGCAGTAACTTGGAAGTATGATCATAATGAAACACAACAATCTCCAACAGTCTATACTGATAATCATCATTCGTGACTAGCTTCGAAAGGAAATTCTTGAAGTTTTAATGAGAAGTTGTAACTTGTACAGTTCAAACGTGTCAAGTATGAATCAGTTATCCATCGAAGACAATCAAAGATGACCATAGAATAGGATAGATTGACTAAAGGTAGACTTGTACACTACTATCATGGATCATTGGTCTGAAATTTAAGCTTTTCAGCGAGGAAACTTTAGGTCCTAGTTTTGGATCTCATGTACGGGAGCATAGATGCCTACTTCGAAGTCTAGTGTCATGATAAATTTATTCAACAAGGAATTGTTCTTATGAATTCACTTAACATATATAACATACCTTTTTAATTGATTAAACATTAATCCACGTTGAATAAAAGCCATAGTTTGATATTTTTGATTACCAATGTATATACACAATGTTAAATCACGTAATGATTGTAATGGACATGTTTTAGTCAGTAGACAACCACGTATATATAAAGCCTATAATAATGATAATGAATAGTTAGATGTTATAATGTGCAATATGTTCCTATTATAAGTAATGAAGTATATTTATGGATGCCGGCTCAGTGGTCTAGTTGGTGAAGCGCCTGGCGCAAGACTGATAGGTCCTGGGTTCGAATCTCGCGGGGGGGGAGGGACCATGGATGCGCAGTGCTGAAGAGTCCCATACTAGGACGAAACGGCTGTCCAGTGCTTCCAGGTTTCCCATGGTGGTCTAGCTTCAATTGACTCATGATTTCAACTATTGAAATTACTAATCCTCCACAAAACCCCTTCTGAATTCATAATGTTAAAACTAAGATAATCTGCAATTAAAGGTAGCAGAAACTCTGCCTGGAGACCCTCTGTAGCGATTGCCAGTCCCAAGCCCGAATAAAGGAGGAGGATTTAGCATGGGGTTAGCAACCTCATTCAGTAGAAAACTAACTCGTTAAAAAACGCTAATCAGATATAAGGATAGCGGAACACATACCTAAGTGGATGTAGAAATAAAAGAATTCTAGTGGTCATATAAGATTATCGGATAAACAGACAACTTCCTTCATTGCGAAATATTTGATTGAGACTGATTATAAGTTTGATATCAAGTTAGCATTTGTAGTATTGTAAAAAAGCTTTCAAGGACTCTTATTGAAGACTTAGCTATACGGAAACTGAAAGCTTCTTTATATATTCCAAAAAACGATTAATTATTACCTCTAACCTACCCTGGTAAAACTGATTTATTATCCAGAGTGGTTATCATATTGTTTTTGTGTAATTTATCTTTGTTTGTTACGGCTTACCTTTAATCTGTCTAGTTGATCTTTTAATTTTCATATAAAAATGTTGGATGGTGGATGTGTCACTCAATTTCGTGGATTGATTGAAATTAAACATTAACAACGTTGAATACGGGCTCAGTGGTCTAGTAGTTAAGCGCTCACGCACGAGACTGACAGGTCCTGGATTCGAATCCCTAGAGCGGGATCGTAGATGTGCACTGTTGAGTAGTCCCACTGTAGGACGAAACGGTCGTCCAGTGCTTTCAGGTTCTCCATGGTGTTATTGCTTCAAGTGACTCATGATCTCAACTATTGTAATATAAAAATGTCTTAACAAATATACTATGTGTGATCAGATTGTTCGAAATATATTACTCAAATATGTCACATAATTCTGATGACCTACACCTTCTCATTGCATCATCGAAGATTGGTATAGCTTATTAGTGAAATGATTTGTACTGCGTAATATTAAAAGCTTGTCATAAGGTCCATGACATTCTTAGAATGTCCTATATGATGAGATCACTAAAATGTGGTACAATGTTTGAAACGAGCTCAAAAACAGTAATTTGAATGAGAAACTAACTATTCGTTTACAGGCATAGATGAATATTGGCTAGCAGTGAAATCCAGGAAAAACCGCGTTTCGTCCTATTTAGGACACGTCAGCTAGATGTATCTACACCTCCAAGTTGATGTTCACTTTGGGACTCCAACCCAGTATTGTTCTCTTCAAACGCCATATATATTAATAACAGATTGATCAATTTCAGTCCTAAACATCAATAGGAAGATTCAAGTAAACGATGCCAAGTAAATTTAAACGTCACCGCATTGCACAACCAAGTGGTTATCAGGGCTCAATAGTCAAGTGAATAATGCGATGGCGTTTGAAGCGAGCGGTACCCGGTTTGAGTCCTGTCTGGAGTGAACATCAACTCTGAGATGCAGGTACATTCAGCTGACGAGTCCCAAACAGAACGAAACACTGTACTGGAATCCATTGCTAGCCACTATTCACCTTTGCTTAGCATGCCTGTAAATCAAGGCAGTATGGAGGCAATCCGTACAGTATGCATGCATGGCAATAAGAGACTGATTAATTGCAGTCTTAAAAAACCTCAATGGAAAGATTCAAACAAACAATATCAAGTGAATGTAGATAAACTTACTTTATAATACATTGGTTGAAAGTAAAGACAAGTTGTTAATTCAGCTAAAGCTGTATTATAATTAGATAATTTTAATAGACTTCTAGCCAAATAATATCTTGCTTCAAAATATGATGGATTATTAACAAGAACCATTTTAAAATAAGAGATTGCTGTTCTCCAATCCCTAAGAATTAAATAAGAAGTGATTAGATAAAGTAATTGCCAAGTATATACGTAGATAACGTAATTGAAATTTTCGGTTGAGATCATGAACTGATTGATGTTAGACCGCCATTGAAAACCTGGGAGCACTGGACGGTTGTTTCGTCCCACTGTGGAACTCCTCAACAGTGCGCACCCACGATCCCACCCCCCGCGAGATTTGAGCTTAGGACGTATCAGTCTCGCTCCCGAACGCTTAACCTCTAGACCACTGAGCTGGTCGACATCCTACGGTGTGGATGTCTAACTCCAACTAATCCACGAAATTGAACAACACACCCACTGCGCACTGCTGATGAGCCCCACAATAGGACGAAACGGTCATCAACTAATCCACGAAATTGCGCGACCATCTTCCATCGTACAGTGGTAGATAAAGGTATCTACCGGACACGGATTATCTCCACTGGTCACGGCTTCTCACTAGTGATCTCCACAACCCTATACTGGTCATTGAAATTCTTTTGAAATACATACAGTTCATTATTTTCATTCTATTCAAGGTACTCTACCTGTAGTGAATGAGAACAAAAATGGGGAAAATTGAATGTATCTGAATAAAAAGTTACAGGACGTCTTAGTAAGAACTATACAGTAAATACTTCGTTTCTACACCAATCAGTGTCTGTGATCGTTCTTTGTTTCCTATGATCTTCTTAACCTTCTGCCACCAGGCATTTCACTCTCGACTGATGATACATACTACTTATATCTATCGACATCAGTAACATACACTGTAGTGAAGGCGAACACAAGTGAGGACAACCGTATGTAATTGACAATAAATTACAAAACTAGTTAGTAAGATCTAACCATATAGTAAATGGTCAATTTGCAAAATGTCCATCAATTGTCTCAAAAGACTCAGACTTTCTTTGCTCTTGATCTTCTTGTCTCTCTGCTGCCAGACATTCTGTTCACGACTAACATCATATACTACTTATGTCTACATAAGTAACACACACCACAAATGTACTAAAATTAGACTTTGAGATATGATAATGTCAAAATAGTGAAACTATAAGTGATCTGAAAAGCCTCACTTTGAAAACTTTCAAGGATATATTGAGGGACGAAATGCAATTGAGAAAAATATATGACTAATAAAATGGATATTAGTTTGCAATGAATAAGGTCGATTGACCTCAACTAAGTAGTCTGCATCTAACAACATGGCTCAGACTAGAAGTTAGTGACTTCAAACCCTGATGCCACGTTTTGGATTGTCCATAACTAACTTTCTTCCAAACCATCCCCAACTCTAATCAACATTGTAAGTTGCGATAATCGGTATTCAAGCATATGTAACACGTGTCTCTACCATCTCAGTCGATGAATATTTACAATCTTATCAACCGATCCACCATTATTCCCTGATACCTTGAGTCAACAAAATGGAATTGAGTGAAATCATGAAAATTTCACTTACTTCGAGTGAAATTTATATAAACCACATTGAAATTGAGCATAGACTGACTTGGGATTTATACAGAGGATTTTCATAAAATCAGTATTTGCTTGATGATACATTTTTAGCTGAAACAAATAAGAAAAGCAATAAAATTTCAATAGTTAAGATCATGAGTCAATTGAAGCTAGACCACCATGGAAAACCTGAAATCACTGGACTGCAGTTTCGTCCTGTTCTGGGTTTCCTCAACGGTGTGCATCCACGATCCCACCTCGTGAGATTTGGACCCAGGAGTTATAGGTCTCGTGCACGAACGTCTAACCTCTGAACCACTGAGCCGGTATCCTACGGTGTCAATTTATATGATTTGTCCATATAAAAATTCCTACTGAAGTCATTTTCTCCCAAGCAAGCATTTGTATGATTTATAAACACTTATATACTGATAGAGATTCTAACGTCCTTTGTTAAGCTTTGCAATTAGAAACAATATTATTGGTCCCTTATGGCTAAGGTTAATAGACACCGTTCACACGCATAAGTAGATTTGGTTAGTTTTTTTAAAGAATTCTTTCATTAGGTTAAATAGATAACGTTGAATACAGTCTATTTCATATGAAAGTTTTGCTATTTTCTAGTTACTATTTTTTCAGACTGTTGTTGCTACCTTGACGTGGTGATCAGACTTGCCTATCGTAATGAAGCGACTGAGCTATACTGTCTAGATCAATCGTTCCTCATGGTCCTACCATGCCAGACAGGTTGGTTGAAGAGCGGTAAGACTAAAAACAGTAAACCCAAGGTCCGAGAGTGAAGTCGTACTGCTGAATTCCATAGGTTTTTATCTCCAGCAGTAAGATCCCTCGGATACTGCAGTCATTTTCATTTAAATCACTTCTATACTGAGTTACACTATAATCTAAGACATTTGGTATCCATTATAACTACTGAATCTTGTTAAGAAAAATATTGAAAAATGAACAATAACTTGACATATAGATGTTCTTTGCTTGTTTTCTAGATGATTTCAATTTATAATGAAAGATACCTATATGTTGTACCAATATCTTAAAACCATCAGTATAAATATTAGAAAGTTATTTTTCCTTAGATGGAATAAACATTTAAAAGAATATGTTTTTCACAGAAATATAGACTGGTAAGATGGATAGTGGCTAGCAATGGACTCCAGGATGTATGTTTCGTTCTATTAGGGACTTATCGGCTAGATGTACCTGCATTCCACAGTTGATATTCATTCCAGCCAGGACTCGAACCCAGTATCGTTCCCTTCAAACGCCACATATACCAATAATAGACTGATCAATTTCAGTCCTAAATATCAATGGGAAGATACAAGCAAACAATATCAAATGAATTTAAACTTCACCCAATTGCACAAACAGGTGGCTATCAGAACTCGGTAGCTAAGTAGACAACGTGATGGCGTTTGAAGCGAACGGTAGTGGGTTCGAGTCTTGGCTGGAGTAAACATCAATTGTGGGATACAGGTACACCCAGCTGACGAGTTCAAAATAAGACGAAACGTGCGTCCTGAATTATACTGCTAGCCACTATCCATCTTTGCTCAAAAAACTTATGACTTAAGGCTTTATCGAGTCAATCCCCACAGTATACACATATGTTAATGAGAGACTGGTCAATTGCAGTCTTAAACAACAATGGGAAGATTTAAGTAAAACAACGCCAAGTGAATATAGACTGAAGTTTTAAACAGATATCTAGTCTGAATCCCATTGTAATACAATTGAAGATTCATTAGAAATCTAATTGACACATGTATATCAGCAGAGTATCATGTTGAAAATCCTGTCAAAGTTATGCTTTGCTTTACTTGTATCTTCCTATTGTTGTTTAAGACTATAATTGATCAGTCTGTTGTTAGCATATATGCACCCTGTGCGGATTGTCTCAATACAGCCTTAATTCACAAGGATGATAAACAAAGATGGATAGTGGCTAGCAATATAAACTAGGACGCTCGTTTCGTTCTATTTAAGACTTGTCACATAGATTTACCTGCACCTCAGAGTTGATATTCATTCCGGGATTCGAACCCAGTACTTTTCACTTCAAGTCTCAAATAGGATGAAACTCACTTTTTCTTGGATTCCACTGTTAGCTACTATTCATCTTTGTATATAAAAAAACAAAAAACAAAATCATAATCACCTTGAGATAAAGATTAGCTCTTTTCTCATAAGCTAATTCATATGTTGAATTATAATGAATTAATTTTGTCCATATTTCAATTTCCATTTTAGAATCATTTAATAATGAATAAATAAATGCTTTTGAATTAAGAATATCATGATAAAACTGATAGAGATTTGCATTGAAACTTTTCATATTACTATTATTATTTCTGTTGTCAGTAGTAGTAGTAGTAGTAGTAGTCGTAGTCGTCGCCACCGCCGCCGTCGCGTTCGTAGTAGTCATCACTATCGTCACCGCCGCTGCCGTCGTCGTCGTCGTACTATTAAACTTAGAAGTAGTAGTAAAATTCTGTATTGGTTCCATTATATTAATACATTTTATACATTGTTCCAAATGATATAATCCCTCTTTTATTTTACCTTCAAGTAAGAATATAAAATGTATATGCCAATAAGCAGATGATAATTTTGATTCTATTTGAATAGATTTAAGTAGATCAGCTTTTGCATTTTGTAATTTTCCAATCTAAAAGGATATAAATTTATAAGAGTAATTTGAATGCATTGAAATCAAATAACATTTATTCGGAAGTTAGGCTGTTAGATTTACTATCCGACAAGTTATTGACTAAACTATCACTATACATGGATTACTATAATTTACTATAATTACTATTATTTAACATATGCTCACTAGTGACTGGCTTCAAGAGGTATTTTCTGGAGTTCAAGTGTGTAGTAGTGACCAGTAGAGTTCAACCGGGTCTGTTGTGAGATAGTAACTCTCTGAAGACAATTTCGTGGATTATTTGAATTTAGACATTCACACCATTGGGTGCCAACTACCTCAGTAGTCTGGAGGTTCAGCGCTTGCGCGTGAGATCGATAGATCCTGGATTGAATCCCGCGAGGCGAGATCGTGGATGTGTACTGCTGAGGAGTCCCACAAAACAGTTATCCAGTGCTTCCAGGTTTTTCATGATGGCCCAGCTTCAATTGAATCATGATGTTAACTATTAAAATTACTATAATCTCCGCAAAAATCCATTCTCATATTTACATCTATTTGGTTCGAAATCGAGTACATTAATCTATATTCGGCAAGTGAATTTAAGTTGAATTCTCTAATTGATCATCATAGAATACGATATACAACTAACGACACTCGAACGTATAAAACCCGAAAGTCCCAAATCAGAAAACAGAAGGAGCAGAAAAAGCGAATAACTCATAAAAATCAAAGATGTACAGCTAAACATGGGTATTTATAGTTATCGGTATTAACTATGACATCATTAAAATTCGGTCAATCCACAAAGAGGAAAGTTTTGCTATCATCTAATCGTAGTATTAAAAGTGGTTTTTGTGGATATTATAGTAATTTCAATAGTTGAAATCATGAGTCAATTGAAGCTAGATCCTGTAGTAGTATGCCACGATGATATTCTAAGAGGCTCTATCAAGTTCTGATTAGATGGAATCACTTCGACATCTTTAGAGCATCTAGAGAGTTAATCGTACTTTTTGAAGCCGTCTGAACAGTTTATAATTGTTTTCATATTGTTTAAATTCATGTTTCATTTAACAAGAATTGTCATTGTCATATCAATTACTCACTGTTCTCATTCACTTTGATTTGATCTTAACTTTCTGATATTAGGCATTTTACTTCTGATTAGTGTTGTATACTACTGATATATGTCAATATAAGTAGCTAACACTACAACCCTATTTGGTCATTTTAGAATTAAATATACAAAAAGTTTTCATATCTGATCGAAGTTAGCGCTTGCCTCGTAATGCAGTTTGGTGTTTTCCGTAATGTATGTCTCAACTAATTTCAACGTCTTTTCCTGATTTCCTCCTCAGATGAAAGCTGGTTTGTCCTCTCCGATTGTAGGCTGTTACTGATGGTATCTAGCCAATGGATGTTGAAGTATCTTGCTTAGACAACTATTTATAAATACTTATACGTTCTTGATGATGGTTGTAGTAATTTCGCACGTTTCATCTTCGTACAGTAGAACTATCTTGATGTTCTTATAGAAGAATGTGACTTCGATATTGGTTGACAGTTATTTTGAGTTCCATATGTTCTTCGACTGTAAGGATTTGGCCCCTGCTTTGCTAAGCCTCGCATTTACATCTTCATCTGATGATATAGCCAGATCATAAAAACCCATCTTCATGCCAATAAAATATCCATATATATCTTATAAAAATAGAAGCATTTAATTATGTATATCAATATAAGGGGTATATCGTCAGTTTATGTATTACTAGTATGATGTGTGCTACTGATATCGACAGATATAAGTAGTATTTATGTATCATCAATTGTAAGTGAAATACCTGGTGACAGAAGGTTAAGAAGATCAAAGAAACGAGAACGAGAACAAAGAATGATTGGTATAGAAATGAAGGAACAATGAAGTCTGAGACGATTAATTAAAGAATTTACTGGATGATTCTCAGATATTATGAAGACATTCTGTAACTTTTAATTCAGATACATTCGATTATCCGTATTTATATATTCTCATTCACTACACCAGCATTACCTAAATGTACATTAGTACAGCCCTATTTTTTGATAAACACTTGAAATAGTATACTTTGATTGTTATCATCATTAGAAATGAAGTACAGATAATACAAACAAACAAACAAACAAACAAACAAACAAACAAACAAACAAACAAACAAACAAACAAACAAACAAACAAACAAACAAACAAACAAACAAACAAACAAACAAACAAACAAACAAACAAACAAACAAACAAACAAACAAACAAACAAACAAACAAACAAACAAACAAACAAACAAACAAACAAACAAACAAACAAACAAACAAACAAACAAACAAACAAACAAACAAACAAACAAACAAACAAACAAACAAACAAACAAACAAACAATATACTACTCACTTTTCTATATAATGCACCACGTCGACATAAATCAAAGGCTAATCTGGTAGTGGATGAATTATTGTTAATTTCATATGTAAGATTTTCTATCTCATTGGTAACTAACTGTTAATGAATGATTATAAGAGAAAACAATAAAATATGTTAGTGTTAGGAGCATAGTTTAATGTTGAGTTTTATGGGTTATATATCATGAACTGGTTATATAATATACCTTTGTGGGTCAAGGTAAATTTACATTGGTTGTCACGAGAACCAGATACCATTCAGACATTCACGTGACAACCCAAACAGTACAGCTTAATCCCGTTTAACAGGAGAACTAGATATCATATAGGCTTTAACACTACAATCTGAATAGTACAGCACAATCCTGTGGCACAATCACACATGTACCTAGGCATCTAGTGGAACATTCGCACCATTCATACACACATATACATTATACGTAAAACTATTGCAATCAATGGTCGCACGAATCAATTATACATATCACGAACAGGTCATTCATGTTAGCAATGGCGACATGCCTTACAATGTCCAAACGAAAATGGCCCTCGAGAACACTGAAAAGCAACCGCTAGTGTGAATGAAATCGGTTAATCAGTAAACCAATTTTGTGTATGAACAGTCAGCAAAACTTGTCAAAGCAATACCGAACCATCCACAATACCAATGGCAAACCTCCAGCCTCATATTACACCTTCAGCTCTACATAGCCATATTGTCTGGTGTCGGAATGCTATTACTAGGAACTAGGAAGCATTAAATAGCAATTTTTTCCCAGTCATATATATTCTTCAATAATGTGCATCCATAACTATTATTGGGACTACAACTAAAAATTTCTGGTTCCTCAGAGACCATATAAGCTTTAGATAACTGAATTGATCATATAGTGACTGATCAATTATCATCATGAACTGCGTAAAAAAATGAAGATAATGCTTTAGAATTAGAGACGTATAGTAATGTGGTTTATAATCAAAGATAGATGGTGCCTAGCAGTGGAATCCAGGGGGTGCGTTTTGTCCTATTTCGGATTCGTCAGCTGGACGTACCTATACCTCAGAGTTAATTTTCACTCCAGGACTCGAACACAGTAACATTCGCTATACACATCACCACGTTATTCACTTAGCTACTTAGTTTTGATAGCCACTTGTTTGGGCGATGGGATGAAGTTTAAATTCACTTGATATTGTTTGCTTGTACCTTCTTGTTGTTGTTTAGGACTGCAATTGATCAGTCTCTTATTAGCATATGTGCATTTTGTTCCGACTGCCTCGATATTGCCTGAAGTCACAAGTTTTATAAGCAAAAATGGATGGCGGCTAGCAGTAGGAAGATACAAGCAAGTGAGTATAGTAATGTGATTTGAAATCCTTTTGCTATGAGTTAGGCACATTCAATCTTAATATTTTTTAAAAGCTTGAGTTTAATTATTATACTATACCGTTGATTCGTCAATTCGTTCATTCTCTCCAAAATTACTTGGTTATGTTGCAAATTTACCACTATCATTATGTTTATATTGATACCATATCTATTCATCTGAGTTCTGCCGGGTCTGTAGTGAGATAGTAACTCATTGAAGACAATGGTGGGCGGTGACACAATTTCGTGGATTGGTTGAAGTTAGACATTAACACTATTGGATACCGGCTCAGTGGTCTAGAGATTAAGCGTTCGCGCACAAGACTGATAGATCATGGGTTCGAATCTCATGAGGCGAGATCGTGGATACGTACTGCTGGGGATTTCCATACTAAAACGAAACAGCCATCCAGTGCTTCCAGGTTTCTCAAGGTGATGTTACTTCAGTTGACTCATGATCTTAACTATTAAATCAATATTAATTGATGAATAAGTTAGTCAGACAAATTATAATAGACAACAAGTAAAACTGATCATTTAATTTCAATCTGATTAAGAACATCTATAAAATCATTTGCACAAAAAGGTGAACAATCAATAATGTTTCGATGATAAATTAATTTTCACTCATTTATTACTGATTAAAAATGATTCGAAGATTTATGTTTCACACTGCTACCAAATGCCATGGTATGATTGAGATTAACGAGAGTCCGCTCTCCATCTAGAAATGCCCTATCATGGCTATGCATATACAACCATTGTCAGAGAAGTCCTAATCACTGACTTCTTACGGCATTACTGTTGCTTACGGAATTGACCGTACAAAACAGGAATGTTCAATGCTTTAACCGGGTTGATAGACACATAGAATCCCCATACAGGAGTTGGAAAACCTGATTCCAAACCAATAATACACATGGGTTCCAATATCCTGAAGGAACAAATGGGGTATGAACCTATTGTTGATCACCGAATACCATTAGAATGCATCTCCTGATGTTGCTCTACTGCCTTGTGGATAAGACCTTTAGGTCAAAAACTCCGGATGTGGTTCTCACCTACATCGGTTTGGAAGTATTCCGACCATCATACGAATCAATAATAACTACTATTAGCCTCATTGTTACTATGTAGTACATATCTATGTATTAAATTAATCAATTTACCTTAATATTCATAAATTGATCTTGTTTAGTTGATCCAAAATATTCTAAAATTGGTTCAATATTATCAGGTAATTTTTGTATTTTTTTAATCCAATCAATTTGTAAATTATTATTATTATTATTGATTTTTAATTGATTTTGTTTATATAATTCTATATCAGATAAATTTAAATAAATCAATTGTGTAGTTGATATAATTGAATTATTTAAATTTTGAGGAATTTTGTTGTCATGGTAATTAGATATATTCATTGATTTTGTTTCTATCTCATTCCTTTATAAGAAATAATAATAATAATCGATATTATTGATCTTTTAGTTATCAAAAATGTAGATTGAAATAATTCATTGTTTTAAACTTACTTACACCTATCATTAACTCTCATGAAGGAGTATAGACCGCTCACTAGCATTTTCCATCCAACCCTATCATGAGCAATCCTTGCTAGTTGCTGTTCATCTTTTTCATGTCTGTTACCAATTATTGAAACAATATGTTCTTTGGCCTTCCTCTTTTTCGTTTCCATTGAGGATTCTTAGGTAGCGCTTGCTTTGTGATAGAGTTTGATGATTACAGCAATGTATGTTCTATCTACTTCCAACTTCTTTTCCTAATTTCCTCCTCAGCTGGAAATTGGTTTGTTCTTTTTCACAGTAGACTGTTGCTGATAGTATGCGGCCAACGGATATTAAGTATCTTACATAGACAACTGTTTATAAATATTTGTATCTTTTTGATAATGGTTATGGTTATTTTCTGTGGGATGGGGTTGTCAATCCCATGACTAACTCTCCTCCTTAACCCCGGGCTTAAGACCAGCAGTAGCCTTAGAAGAGCTACAGGCGGAGTTATTTTGAAATTCTAATTTCTAAATTGTTTTATTCCATTTATGACTGGTTCATATGTCGATGACGATTAATAGTGTAGAGAACGAGAACATAAGTGGAAACAGTCAAATGTATTTGAATTTATTTATTTGAACACATAAATATTGGTACTAGGGGTCACCAGATACATATGCGCCACACAAATCTCATTTGATTTGTGTGAAGGCTGTGATATTTCTCAGGTGCCCAAACCGAGGCAGGTGGTTTTCTGATGGAACCACATTTGGAGCCTTTGACTTAAAGGTTTGATCCACAAGGCAGTGGAGCATCGTAAGGAGATACAGACCCACGATAGACGGTGACCAACAATAGGTTCATACTCTATGTGTTCTTTCAGGATACTGGAGTCCATGTGTATCATCGGTTTGGAATCAGGGTTTTCCAACTCTCCTATGCGGATTCTCTATGTGCACCAATCCGATTAAAGCGCCGTACATTTGCTTTTCGTCCTCTCAATTTCGTAAACAACACCTCCGCCACGAAAAGGCAGTGAGTAGGACTTCCATGGCAGAGTCTATATACGTGTGGTCATGTGGGAGCATTTCGAGAGGGAGAGCGGACTCTGCCCACTCTCTGCCGTACCAGGGCATTTGGGGGCATCAGAACACCTCTAATTGAATACGAAATTACCGAGTTATTTGATAAAATGTGAATGTCAAATGGACAATAATTCATTTGCAAAATATTAATCAATTGTCTCAGACTTTGTTGTTCCTTCATTTTAATGTCAATTTAACTCTGTTCCTGTTCTATTTCATTCGATCTTCTCAGCATTCTGCTGCTAGGCATTTCAATTTTCTTAGACCAAAATTGTATGCAAATTATCTAATAACAACTTTTGTAATGTGCAAATTCCGTCATATTAACTCGATTATACCTTAGAGAAACATCACAAAAACCTAGAGAATGTTCACCTACTTACTACGATTGAATAAGTGTTATAAACCTTTGTGAAGAATAAGGATTATGATCAAAAGTTGATGGTTAGGAATAAGAATTTTATTAAACGTATTCATGACAAACTGACATAAGCTATAATGTCAAAGTGCTATTTAGACAAACGGATGAATGAATTTCGCGCCGAAATCTAAGATCTGTTATCCTAAATCTGATTCGTTCGTTCATAGATTATAATCTTGCCCTTGATTAATGGTATGACGAAAATATTAGCTCTCATAGTGATTGATATCATGAACTAAGAACAACTGAAAAAACACTGTAAATGTGAAAGTTATATCCGATTCCATTGGTGTTGTTTGCTTGTTTCTTCCCATTGTTGTTTAGTACTGCTATTGATCCGTCTCGTATTGGCATATATGCATACTGTACTGATTGTCCCGATATTGCTTTAATTCATAAGCATTCTAAACAAAGATCGATAATGGCTAGTAGTGAAATCCAATTTGATGCACGTTTTGTTCTGTTCGGAACTCGTCATCTGGATTTACCTGCATCTCAGAATTGATATTCACTCCAGTTAGTATTCGAATCCACTATCATTCGCATCAAACGCTATCGCATTATTCACTGAGCTACTGAGTTCTTATAGCCACTTGATTGTGCAATGGGATGAAATTTAAATTCACTTGATGTTGTTTACTCGTATCTTTCCATTGTTATTTAGGACTGAAATCGGTCAGTCTGTTATTGATATATGTGGTGTTTGAAGAGAACTGTACTGAGTTGAAGTTCCGGAGTGAATATCAACTATGGGATGCAAATACATCCACTTAACAGGTTCTAAATATTTAATTAGTACATTAAAACTGTTTTGTATAAAAAAGATATACTGAGCGCTTCGGCAGTATTCAAGCACTTATATAAGTCAAATGATAAAGTGTGCACGTATATCCGTTTGATACCTCCTTGTACCAATATTTATGAGCTTAATTAAATAAATAAATTTAATAATTGAATTCATGAGTCAATGGAAGCTAGACTATCATGGAAAATCTGGAAGCATTGGACAGCCGTTTTATCCTAGTATGATGAATCTTAATCTGATTATAATCATCATATGCTCACTAGTGACTGACTTTAAGAGGTATTTCCTGGAGTTCTAGTGAGAAGCAGTGTCCAGTGGAGTTCAATCGGGTCTTTTGTATGATAGTAACTCACTGAATACAATGGTGGTTGGTGGCGTAATTTTGTGAATTGGTTGGAGTTTGACACTAACACCGATTGAGTGGTCTAGAGGTTAAGCGTTCACGTCCGATAGGTCCTGTGTTCGAATCGTGGATGCGCATTCCTGAGGATTCTCATACTAGGATGAAACAACTGTCCAATGCTTTCAGGTTCTTCATGATGGTCTAGCTTCAATTGACTCGTCAGTTAAATTAATAAATTACTACAACCTCCACGAAACCCCTCTCTGATTAAAATAAATAAATAAGTAAAAGAGTTCAGTGGCGAGACTATAATTTATGGACGAACCAATCAAATATAAGATAACAGGTCTTAGATATTGGCGCGAAATTCATTCATCCATTTGGTTAAATAGCATCTTGATGTTTTTGTTGATATTAGCTCACGATGAAAACTCTAAATCTAATTCTTAACCGTAACCTCACAGTAATTTATAACCTTCATTTAGTCTTAGTACTTAGGTGAACCCTTTCAAGATCACTTTAGCGTTGCTCAAAGGTCATCCATAAATAATAATCTTATCAATTCAATAACTGACATACAAATAAAATTCACTTACATATGATTATTAGTAGTATGTACAAAACAATCATTATTTGAATAGATCATTGTAACTAAAACAATTAAAACAATAATGATTATTCTAAATGAAATACTATATAATAATCATATAGAATATTATGTAGTGAATGACTCCCCTAGGTGGACTCTTTGTGTTCAACAAACCGGTTAAAGTGCTGAACATTCGTTTTATGTCCTGTCAATCTTGTAAAACATCCCCACCACCACCACCACAAGAAGGTAGTGAGTACGATTTCCCTGACAGTGGTTTTATGGGGAAGGATGAATAAGTTGACATGTCCGAAAGCTAGAATAAGCTATGTGGGCTTGACATAGCAACCGACCCTATAATTTGAACATTGTAGGTACATCCAGCTGACGAGTCTCAAATGGGACGAAACGCGTGTTCTTGATCCCAATGCTAGCCACTATCCGTCTTTTCTTAAAAAGCATGTGACTTCAGGTAATATCGAGGCGGCCCGCACTGGATGCACATATGCCAATAAGAGATTGATCAATTTCAGTCCTAAATAACAATGGGTAGATACGAGTAAAACAACACCAAGTGAATTTAAACCTTACTCCATTGCATAATCAGGTGGCCATCAGTAGATAAGTGGATAACGTGATGGCGTTTGAAGCGAACGGTAGTGGGTTCGAGTCCTGACTTGAGTGAACATTAACTCTGAGATGCAGGTACATCTAGCTGACGAGTCCCGAAGAGGACGAAACGTGAGTGCTGGATTCCATTGCTAACCACTGTCCAGCTTTGCTCACAATAATATTTTATATTCGAAAAAAAATTTCAGGTTACTTACAGATTTTATTCTTTTCGTTGGAAGTACAATCTCCTGGTGATATCTTGTCTTCCAGATTATCAGTAGTCTGATCTTCCATATCTAATATTAACTTTCTTTGTTGCGTTAACTGGATAGAATTGACAGAACAGAAAAAGAAAGATAGTGAGTTGTGTAGTGCGTAAAAGTCTGAAAAGAAAAGAAAACACTCAATATCACAAGATATGGAACCTAGACATTTTAGGCATCAAAGAGGTTGGAATAGTCTGATAAGACTAGCTATTTTCCACATTGATCATAATACGAGATAAAAGCTATTGAGGACGAAATCAATTTTCGAGTTGTGACCACTGTATTACAGTTTGGCTTGACTTTAAAAGTAGTATGCTTTGCTACATTTTTATCCTATTTTACAAGCAAATATGGATGATGGCTAGCAGTGTAATACAGGATACGTGTATCGTTTTATTTGGGACTCGTCAACTGGATATAATTGGATCCCACAGTTGATGTTCACTCCAGCCAGCATTCGAATTCAGCACCGCACTGTTCAAACGTCACATATATCAATAACAGACTGATCGATTTTAGTCCTAAATGACAATGGAAAGAAACGAGTAAACAACATCAAGTGAATTTGTATTTCATCCCATTGCACAATCAAGTGGCTATCGGAACTCAGTGGCTAAGTGGATAATGCCATAGCGTTTGAAGCGAACGATAGTGGATTCGAATGCTAACTGGAGTGAATATCAATTCTGAGATGCAGGTAAATCCAGATGACGAGTTCCGAACAGAACAAAACGTGCATCAAATCGGATTTCACTACTAGCCATTATTGATCTTTGTTTAGAAGGCTTATGAATTAAAGCAATATGGGGACAATCAGTACAGTATGCATATATGCCAATACGAGACGGATCAATAGCAGTACTAAACAACAATGCGAAGATTCAAGTAAACAATACCAAGTGCATCTATTTTATAGTTTGATAAAGTTTTTACTTAGAATGTATGAATGTTTACTACTAACAAAACTGAAGAATAATATTGGTAGCGAAGTCAATCAATATTTATAATAAGAATTGTTTTGAAGTAAAGTATCCAGTCATAACGCTATTTAGAGAGTGATAATTAGCGCTTTCAATCTTCCACTAATGTTATTTATACAGTGATGAAAGATAATTCTACTGTACGGAGCTGAAACTTGACGAACTACTATAACTATCATCAGAATTGTACAAATATTTATAAACAGTTTTCTATTCAAGATACTCAATGTCGGTTGGCCAGATAACCCATCAACAACAGTTTACTGTGGATGAGAGCAAACCAAGTTCCTATTGAACAAGAAGTTATGAAAAGACGTTGAAAGTGAATAGAACACACATTACGTAATTCATCAAATTGAATCTCGAAGGAAGTTCTAACTTGGAATCCTGAAGGGAGATGAAAATGAGGAAGGTTAAGAACACACTATATCGGGAATTGGAAGCAAGCATCAAAAGGATGAATAATAACTGGAAACAAGTGGAAAGGATTCTTCAGGTTAGAGTTAAATGGAGAATGCTGTTGAACGGCCTATAGTCCTCCACGACGGGTAACAGCTGTAAGTATATATGAATGGTATATATGTATAAAATTACAATGTTATCATTAGAATGTAACATCAATATGGAAAATTGAATCATTCATTAAAAGTATACAATATGACTATTTCATTGATTAATTAATCAATATTATAAACTTACTTCATTTAATATACTTGAAAAATTTTGATTTATAATTAAATCACCAATTGTTTGATTCATTAAATTCGGTGAACTATGATATAAGTTGCTGGGTTCAGGTTGCCATGGTAACTAGAATAAATTAAAATACATCGAATGGTATTAAGTTAATTCTTGTTCTAAATGTGATGTTATGTTATGTCATTGAACATTCAATTGCTAATTTGATTATCCCAATTATTAATAACTAAATACAATCGAACTGGAGGGGGGATACAGTGAACAGCTAAGATGCAGCTGAACGATCTGCACTTCGCAGATGATGTAATTCTTCTATTGCATCTGCATCAACAAATGCAAGAGAAGACGACTAGTGTAGCAGCAGCCTCAGCAGCAGTAGATCTTAACATACACAAAGGGAAAAACAAGGTCCTCCGATACAACAGAATATACACTAATCGAATCACACTTGATGGAGAAGATTTGGAGGATGTAAAAATCTCTACATATCTGGGCAACGTCATTGATGAACACAATGAATCTGATGCAGATGTGAAGGTACGGATCGGCAAAGCAAGAACAGCATTTTCAAAACTCAAGAACATTTGTAACTCAAAACAACTGTATGTCAACCGACGGCAAGGTCAGAATTTTCAATACAAATGTCAAGACAGTTCTGCTGTATGGGGCGGAAACCTGGAGAACTACGATAGGCATCATCCAAAAAATACAAGTGTTTATTAACAGTTGTCTACGCAAAGTACTTCGGATCCGTTGGCCAGACACTATTAGCAACAACTTAGTGTAGGAGAGAACAAACCAGATTCCAGAGGAGGAGGAAATCAGGAAGAAACGCTGGAAGTGGATAGGACACACATTGGGGAAATCATTCAACTTTGTCACAAGGCAAGCCCTCACTTGCAGTCCACAAGGCGAAAGGAGAAGAAGACCGAACAACACATTACACCGAGAAATGGAGACATATATGAGAAGAATGGACAACAATTGGATATAACTGGAAAGGAAAGCCCAGGACAGAGTGGGTTGGAGAATGCTGGTCGGCGGCCTATGTTCCATTGGGGTAACAGGCGTAATTCAGTAAATACGTAAGCAAATACAATCCAAACTGTATATACATACTTTCGAAACAAATTCAGCCAATCAATCATAGGTAACATAGGAATTAACATGTATATATAAAGAACTCAGAATCGCTACAAACTTAGCAGTCGTCGAATAGGAAGTACTAGATAAATCTAAATTTCAAGATGTGGAGAAATTAAAAAAGTAAACGCAACAATATCATTTAGACTGTCTCGTTCAGCCTTCAACAAGGTATTTTACATTTCTCTATAATGACCAATCCAACAGTCATTTAGGTGGTCATCAAGAATGTATATTTCTTGGATCATAACAACGACAAAAAACTGTAGAGATTTGTCTTGATTGAAGTTAGATAATAACATCATTGGATAGCTACCGTCTCAGTGGTATACAGATTAAGCATTTGCGCGCGAGATCTAATATTCTGAATTTGAATCGCGCAAGCGGGAACATGGATGAGCACAGCTGAAGAGTCTCATTCAAGGACGAAACGGCCGTCCAGTGCTTCTAGGTTTTCCATCGTGGTCTTGCTTTAAATGACTCATAAATTCAACTATTAAATAAATGATCGAAATACGATATTAAGCTTTGAAGATAACCGTCATAGTGTGCAAAGAGTTGAATTGAAAGAAGATATATCTATGAATGTTATTTTGTGTTGAATAGATACTTATTTCTAGAAACCAAGTTGACTGCTAAGTAAGTGATATATATTGATGTTAAAAAAATTCCTGATGAATGTTAAAATAAATGAATTTTGTGAAGATTATTTCATTTTGAAGATAGTATTCATGCCACTTGAGGTATTATTAAAGACTTAGTAGTGTAGTGTACTGGAGTTCCTGTCCTTAGTCATTGTGTTACGATTACGAGGTCACCTAGTTTGAAAACGGAACAAAGACTCTGTGACTAAAGACCAATAAGTTAACTATTCTGACGCATCCCAGCCCCGCTAATTAGATAGAGTGGTTCAAGTTCGAAATAGGGGAAATATATTCCACAAGCAGTTATAAGCATGAGCAACAACAACAGGCATAAACCAAACGTATATATACAGCATAAAATTGTCCTTGGGAACTGTTAAAAAATAGCATATTAAAAGATATAACGAACCAATAACGTTTAAGATTCTCTTAAATGGGAAATACGACATGAAGGTGAAAATGAGCGGTTTTAGCGCGAAAACGAGAAATTCAAATTTTTACAATAAAATTACAAAAATAAGGTATTTACCAAATGAGTTCTGGGGATCTAACATCCTCAAACACATTGGTAGGATGTAGTTCACTGAAGTTCTATACTAAAACGGATCAGTAAACTATGACTATTATTCATACTTCCTACTGGTGTAATTGATGGTCGACTACCACCTTTAAATCAAAGATAGGTTCTTGTTTATGTTGTCAGTAAAAATATAAAAACTGATAATTTTATCATGATCAGTAGGTTCAGCCAAATTAAGTTATACGTGAGTATTATATTTTTTGATATAATAGACAAAAGGTTATCTGAAATTTGATCCTCTTTCAGTTTCCGATTTGAGCACAGTACCTTGACATAGTAAACAAGTTGGCGGTGAATTGATAAAAGGAGGGAGTCCAAGATATTCATAGACATTCTCTCTGTACATGTCTGATATAAATCCCAAGCCTCTGTCACTGTTCATATGAATATGTGCAATTGAGTGAATGATGAATTCAATACTTAACGCATTGTAAAATCCATGTATCCTTTAGGTTAGAAATATGGTAATGTGTAGGTTAATACTTGATAAAACATGCTTTATAGTATATTAAGAGTTTTGCTTCTCTTCAGTTACATAACGTTTAGAAACCAGGATAATGTTGAATGTTTACCAGTAACAATAGACTACTGTTTATTGAGTTTACAACATAGTTACTAAATTAAGGAATTTGAAATCCTTTTGAAGTTTAGTTATAGAAAAGTGATAAAAAGGATTATATAATCTAGATCGCTTGTTTGACAAGATCGTATTCTAACAACTGATTCAAACTAGAAAATGGGTGGTTGGTAGCAGTGAAATCTAGTAAGAACATTTCGTCTTGTTTGTGACTCGTCAGCTGGATGACCTACATCTCAGAGTTGATGTTCACTCTGGGACTCGGAATATTTGCTTCAATCACCATCACGTTATTCACTAAGCTACTGGATCCAGATAGCCAGCTTGTGTTGTTTGGTGAAGTTAATGTGTGTATCCTGTACAGATTGTCTCAACTCTGAAATGCATTTACATCCATGTGACGAGTTCGAAACACTATGATACACAAGTTCTAGGTTCTACTATTAGCCACCACTAATCTTTACTTATAATGCTAGTGACATAACAAAATCAATCACTTACTTTGAAATTGTTAACATCACAACTTTTAGACCGATTCAAGCGTAAACTGTAATAGAAATGATAAAGGATGAAATTACATTGAAGTTACATTGAATATGCATATAAATTTGACTAGAAAGATGTTCATGTTTTGTAGTTGCTGATGTTGTAAGAATACCAAAGATTGCCTATGACACTAACACAATCAAATTATAGATTAACAAAGGCCAAGGAAGTTAATCAAGAACTAACTCAAACAAGTTACTCCACGTAGAGAAGCATAAGTCGTTCACCTACATTCTCTATCTAACTCTGTCATGGATAAATCTTTCCAGTTGTTACTAGTTTCTGCTTCAAATGCTCGACGTAATATGTTCTTTGACATTCCTATTTTTCTTTTCTTTTCAGGATTCATGCTTCATAATGCAGTTTGATGATTCCAGCAATGTATGTCATAATCAATTCCATCGTCTTTTCGTAATTTCATCTTCACCTGGAAACTAATTTATTTTCTCCAACAGTAGGCTGTTGCTGATGGTATTCGGCTAACAGATACTGAGTATCTTGAGTAGAAAATTGGTAATTCTCCAAGTTTTAGGTCCGTACAGGAGAGCTATCTTCACATTCGTATTGAAGATTCTTATTTTGATGTTGCCTTGAAGACAGTTGTTTTGAGTTTCATATGTTTTTCAACTGTAGAAATGCTATCCTTGTTTTGCTAATCCTCGCATTTACGTCTGCATTAGATCCTCCCTGTTCATCAATGATCGTGATCACGTACGTGAATGTTCCCACCTATTCTAGAGCTTCGCCATCAATTGCAACTTGGTCGGTGTTCTTCGTGTTCTATTTGATGATCTTGCTTTCTCCCTTGTGTATGTTGGGGCTTATTAATTCAAAGGCTGCTGCTACACTGGTTTTCTTGACCTGTATTTGTTGATGTGTATGGGATAGCAGGACCAGGTAATCTGTGAAGTCGAAATCTTCTAGTTGATTCCGAGATGTCCATTGTATTCTGTGTTTCCATCAGATGTGGAAGTTTTCATAATTCTGTTGGCCATTATCAGAAGAAAGAGAAAGAGGGAGAGTAAACAGCGTTGTCTAATTCCGGTCCTCACTTGGAAAGCATCTGTCAACTATTCCCAATGCACCACATTACACTGTAGTCCGTTGTATGAATTCTAGATGATGAGGACAATCATCTCAGGTACACCATATTGTCAATTAAGTCCTCTTATCCACACTTTCAAATGCTTTCTCATGGTCAAGGAAGTTAATGTATATTGACGAGTCTAAAATGACAATCATCATATTATAATGAAGTCATCCCGATAAAAATCCACCAAAATCTCTCATCAATATGTTTACAGATTATCTATAAAAGGAATAAACATTTGAATCGAAGGACTTTAATCACTAGAACATATATAGTTTGACAAACTACTGAACATTGGGAACAACCCAAACAGTACAGCTCAATCCCGTTTCTAGGAGAACCAGACATCAAATAGGCTTTAACACTACCATCTGAATAGTACAGCTCAATCCTGTGGCGCAACCACACATGTACCAGGGCCCCATTCATATACATATTCATATCACATATATAATTATTCCGATCAATGATCGCGTGAATCAATTATACATATCACGAACAGTCCAAAGTTGATTTATTCCGCTTACACGACAGTCAAACTCATTATTGTTAGCAATGGTGACATGCATTACAATATCCCGATGACAATGGCCCTTGAGAACACTGAAAAACAACCGGTAGTATGAATGAAATCGGTTAATCAGCAAACCAATTTTGTGCATATACAGTCAGCAAAACTCGCCAGAGTAATGCTGAACCATCCAAAATATCAATGGTAAACCTTCAGTCTCATATGAGACATTCAGCACTACATAGCAATATAGCTTGTGAAATAGATCGTGAAATAGACTGTGGCCAAATAACTTACTGTGAAGTTGTTTTCCGGGTTATCCGACTACTTTCTTTTAATAATGAATCTAACGGAAACCAAGGTTCAAGTGGTTCACGTATACCATATGAACAACATTTCTTTGTTGTATTAGAACATAAAACTGGTACCTTTTCTACATGAAGAAAAACATCAATAAATTACTTCAAAATTATTTAAATTACAACATTACTGCTATGGAAAAATAGGTAATTCATATGCTCTTAAACAACCAAATGACTATCAGCACTCATTTGCTTGGGAGAGTCCGCTCTCTTTCTCTCTCTTTCCAAATGCTCTCACATGGCCACATGTGTACAGCCACTACCACACAAGTCCTACTCACTTCCTTCTCATGGCATTACTGTTGTTTACAAAATTGAGAGGACGAAAATCGAATATGCGGTGCTTTAACCGGGTTGGTGGATATAGAAGATCTACCTAGGAAAACATTGATTCTAAACCAATGGTACACATGGGCTCCAGGGTCATGAGGGAACAAATGGCGTATGAACCTACTGTTGGTCACCGGCTACCATGGAACTGCATCTTCTTACATTGCTACACTGTCTTGTGGATTAGACCTTTAGGTCGAAGGCTTCGGTGTTGGCCCCCGTGTAGTATCACAGCCCACACACAAATCAAATGATTTATATGGTTCATATCTATCTGATGTTTACTTGTACCAATATTTATGTGTTTGAATAAATAAATACTGGGTTCGAGTCCCAAAAGTGAACATCAACTCTGAGATTCAAATACATTCAGCTGACAAGTTCTAAATAGGACGACACGCGTATCCTAGATTCTAATACTAGCCACAATCTACCTTTGTTTAATAACCGATAATTTACCGATTCTTGTTAAACTTTGAAGAATGAAGTACTCCCAGTTCCCATATTACTTGCAGTTCAGCACGAAGTTAGGTGCATGTTTCATTATATATTTTTCGGTCATGATAATGATCCTTCCTTAGGTTCACTTACGAAACCTTATTATGACTTTGGCTTCTTCTAAATAGTGAAATTAAGTTATCTTTCTCAGTATCAGTTGAGAGGAAAAGCCAATACAACGACATCAATCCGACGAGTTAACTAAACCATTCAATTGATAGTAGCAATCGGCGGTGTTTTTGATGGTGTTTTATTCTCTGATCTAGATGGTTTGGTCGTAGAGCTTTCATCATTCTTATGAATGACATCATCAGCACAAACTTCATGTAGAAGTGAAGTGTTCGAATTTTTCCACATGTGATTCACAACTTATCCAGTACACCTCAATGTTGATTGATTCTTGTTGACTTTAAACCTAACATCGTTTACTTCTTTGTTTTAGTTATATCTCCAATTGGTTTAATTTTTATTCCCATGTTTGTGCATAACTTTCCTGATTGGTTAATAAATTGGATCAATTTCAATGTGCTTGTCTATTACTGATGTTATTCAGAAGAACAATGAAAGTTCCACGATCAAACTATCCAACTCCATGAATAAGATCGGCGGTGTATACATTGGCATAGTGGTATTTATCTTAGACTTAAGTGATTATTCATTTGAATGATATTACTTATTAATACTACTAACCTGTAATAGACTTTAGATGTTTTCTTTTCATAGTATTCTTTTCCTATTTTACAATAAAATGAAAATCATTGATTCATTATGATTAATTTATGATATCAATTATGATGTTCTTATGACTTGTGGTCACTATAGCGCCTTATCAATATATTTCACATCATGATACCTCTCATTAGAGTATAGTGATATGTCGACCGGATTAATGATGCATCAAACCCGTGCAAGTAGTCTACAGTCTTTAACGGTTCTTCATCCTCATAAGCTCTGATTACCTATTGAGTCCAGAATATCAATCGTAGCCTCCATAATATGAATTAGGTATTTCAAGCATACTCGGATTATATACAATCCAAACAGACCATCTCGTATCATAAAATATGAAATAACATTTGTACAAGATCTAGCCAAATGTGGCTGTGAATGTGGGAGACTGTAATGAATAGACAGGGTATAACTCAACAATGGCAAATTGTATAATAATAGTCTGAGTCAAACTGAAGCTTACTTGATCTTATAACAAATAAAGATAGATAGTGGTTAGTAGTGGAATCCAGGACAAAGCGCGTTTCGTCCTTTTTGGGATTCGTCAGCTGGATGTTTATTTAGTTAATCGTTTCTTTTTAAGACATAAAATTAATCTTACCAAATCTTATCATTAGTCTTGTTGTAGTGTGCGAGAACATAAGGGGAGGGATATAAAATGTTGGTTAGAGGCAGTCAACAGGAGACCCTTGACCCTGGACATTCGTCAGCAAAATGTACGTGTAATCTTGAAGGAACTGGTGCTTCCCTAAGAAAACCACCTCTTTCTGTTTCAGCACACGAGTAGTACCTTAGACCTCATACAAATTGAATGATTTATGTGGTGCATATCTACTTGGTGCCTCCAACCATCATCTTATCTCAACATAGTATACGAAGTATGGAGTCACCTAGACTAGTGACCATATTTCAACTTGGTCGATAACATTCGATCTGCATTAAGAAGAACTTGACATACATGACATTGATCACCACGCAGTGATCAACCAATTGTGATAAGAGGGGATCATTCAATGTATACGGAAACAAAATTATAGAATCTCTTAGTGGAATTTGAGAACCATAAATGTCAACCAATAGTCTAAGACTTCACAGTTCCTTCATTTCCACACTAATCATTCTTACTTCTCGTTCTCTTTTTTCTTTGATCTTCTTAACCTTCTCCTACTAGACATAATATTTTTGACAGATGATATATAATACTTATATCAGTCAACATCAGTAGCATATACCATATTATTACCTATATATGTATTTAATCATTGAAAGATAGTTGTTTTAATAACAAAAATGATATGTAACCACATAAGTTCGAACATTTAGAGCCATATTACACCAATTTCATCAATTATTAAGATAATCAATATAAGAATTTAATGTATTATGCTATCTACATAGAAAGATTGTTGTTACAGGGAATTCTAGGTATGGGATGAAAACTGTATTTGCAAATAAATTAGCATATACTAACAGTATAACTGAATGATACAGATACATTCAGCTGATGAGTCTCAACTAGAACAAATCGCGTTTACTCTTCGATTCCACTGTTAGCCACAATCCATCTTTGCTTATAAAGTTTTCATGCTCATGGTTTATTGTCTGTTCAATGTGTTATAATTGAGAAAATTTAATAGACTACAATTTTCGTTAACGTGACTTTACTGCCTTGTGGATTAAACCTCTAGGGTATGTGTTCTCCTCAGAAAACCATCTCCTTCTGTTTAAGCACCCGGTTAGTATCATAGACCTCACACAAATTGAATGATTTATGTGGTGCATATCTATTTGATGCCTTCTTGTACCAATGTTTATGTTTCCTTTAAATGACTATTTTTTCGATTTCAGATTAACTACTTAAAACATATATAAGTAGTATTAAATTTACTTAGTAAATTGTTTCTATTTGTCAACTTACTATTGTTTTCTTTTTAATCAAGTTATAATCAAATTTATTCTGTCCTTGAATTCCAGTCGTTGTAAAATCTCCATCTTGATAATCACAAACAAAAATCTCTTCTTTTGGATTTAATTGAATTAAATTGGTTAAGTTCTTTGTTATACCTACCTAAACAACACGATTAAATATGGACAAAACATCGAGTATTTCGATCAGTTTTCTTATGTTGATATATGCATATTTGATGTAGTTGAGGCTTGTTCAAACTATTAAGCCTAATGATTTTGAATTCTTAAGTTTTCATTTTTATTCAACAAAAGTTTGTTTCAGTCAGTCAAATGCAATGCAGGACCAGGCATCGGTTCAAGTTGTCACGTCATACTCATTCGCACAACAAGATGAATATCAAATACATAGAAGTAGTTAATTCAACGGTGGTAATATATAAAAGAAAGATTGAATATAAGAATATAATACAAGAAGAAAGAATTATTTCGTATAAAGAAAGATATCAAGTAATTATAATTTCATAGTTTAAGGCAAGACAAATAGTGTATACCCGTATGCTATTCTGAACGATTCTGAGCCACGTCATTCACGGTCTTCAACCATTGGTTACGATAGTAAGGCGGACCCCAACCAAGTAGTCTGTACAGATTAGAAGTTAGTGAATTTATGGACTGATGCTATATTTTGATTTGGTCGCCCATAACTTTCTTCTAACCATCTCCAAAACCGGTCAGTAATGCACTTTGATGTTAATACCTTAATATCAACTCTTTTTTTTATCAGAAGGGGTTTTGTGGAGATTTTAGTAATTTCAATGATTAAGATCATGAGTCAGTTGAAGCTAGACCACCATGGAAAACCTGGGAGCACTGGACGGCCGTTTCGTCCTATTATGGGACTCATCAGCAGTGCTCGCGCGCGAAACCAGTAGGTCCTGGGTTCAAATCTCGCAGGGGGCGAGGTCGTGGATGCGCACTGCTGAGGAGTCCCATAATAGGACGAAACGGCCGTCCAGTGCTTCCAGGTTTTCCATGGTGGTCTAGCTTCAACTGACTCATGATCTTTTTTTTTGTTTTACATTGAACTTACATTTGTATTTGGATAACTTGCTTCAAATTTCATTTGTTTATCTACAAAAGAATATAGTTTACATATTAACAATTATTATTTATGGTCCATAACGACGAATACGTTCATGTTAATGGTGAGTAAATAATTAGATTGAATTTATTACTATCAGAAAGCGATTTTGTGGAGAGAATAGTAATTTGACAGTTGAATTCATGAGTCATTTAAAACTAGACCACCATGGAAAACATGAAAGTATTGGACATCCGTTTCGTTCTACTATAGGACTCTTCAACAATGCGCATTTACGATCCCACTTACTAGTGACTGGTTTCAAGAGGTATCTCTAGCAGTTCTAGTGAAAAGCAGTGATCAGTGAAGTTTAACTGTGTCTGTTGTAAGGCAGTGATTCACTGAAGACAATGGTAGACAGTGGTCGAAGTTAGGTATTAACAACGTTGGATGCCAACCGGCTCAGCGGTTTACAAGTTAAGTATATGAGAGCGCGATCTGTCATCCTGGATTTGAGTCCTATGTGCGGGATCATGGATGCACACTGTTGAGGAGTTTCATACCAGGTCAAAACGGCCCTTCAGTGCTTCCAGATTTTTCATGGTGGTCTTATGAATTCAACTACTAAGTCACTCTTGCCTTTAATGATGACACTATTTGAAACTCACTGAACAAATTAATAAAAGATTGATAATGAAATTAATAACATTAACAGATAAGCTAAATAAAAGTAAACATTAACACCGTTGGATGCCGGCTAATAGTTAAACGCTAGCGCGCGAGATTGATAGGTCCTGGGTTCGAATCTCGTGGGTGGCAGGATCCTGGACGCGCAGTGCTAAGGAGTCCTGTACTAGGACGAAAAGGCCGTCCAGTGCTTACAGCTTTTCCATGATGGTCTAGCTTCAATTGACTCATGATTTCAACTAGTGAAATAATTTATTGTTGAAGAATTCAAACTTTCATTCACATAAAATAACAAAACAACTAGTCTTTGATAGTAAATGTTTACTTCGTATTTACTTTGACAAAATAAAGTTCATCTCATACTTCAACAAGATACCACAAAGATAGTTGAAATTAGTCCTATGAACTAGTATCACCATCTAGATGGAGATTGGATTCGATTTAACTCTTCTGAAACTGATAGTGATTATAGTAATCCCTTACTCTATCGTAGGGTCTTGTGAAAATTAGAGCTATTTATAAAATATGACGTAACCAGTCCACACAAGTCAACATATACATTCTATATATGCGTATTACTCATACTTGTAATGTTATTTATCTACATCCTATACGGGTGTATACATTATTCCGCTCCGTGATATTCGTTTACTCCAAAGTTTCCGGATAGGTAAATCTTAAACGGAACTGTACAGAAGTAAATTAATAATGTATTTGTTTGCTTCTCAAACTATAAAGATTCGAGACTGTTTGTACGGGCTTTTTGCGTCATTGGTCCGGTCAATAAATTACTGTCCTTTAATTAACGGTGTTATTACATCATATATATTGATAGGGACACAAGGAAACAAGTTATAACATATTGTAATTGCTTACATTTCTACATAGTATTCTCGATCCTAGTAATTTGAACAATAACTGATGATCAGTTTCGGGGTTGTGGAGATTGTTAAGTTTTTGATTGAGATCATGAACCGATTGATGTTAGACTACCATTGAAAACCTGGAAACACTAGACGGCCGTTTCGTTCTATTGTGGAACTTCTCTTCAGCAGTGCTCATCCATGATCCTGCTTGCGAGATTCGAAACCAGATCCTTCAGTCTCGCGCGCGAACGCTTAACCTACTGGAACACTGAACTGGCCGGAATCCAATGGTGTTAATGCCTAACCTCAACCAATCCACGAAGTTGCGCAACCATCTTCCATTGTACTGAGGCAGATACCTGTCTTTACCTGACACAGCTTAGCTCCACTGGTCATGGCTGATGATGAAGCAGATAATAGTAGAAGTTAACATACTAACGATGTTTAGGGTAATACATGCATTTCCTTAGCTTTGAATCTCTTCAGCACAAAAGAAAGCTGATCAAAACTCTTAATTACCGAATACACACTATATATTCTACGGACGTAGTTGAAGAAGAGTTAAACACATTCCGAAATATACATAAGGAGAAAGGATACACTGGAAAGTTTATAAACCAATATATGATTACGAAAGTGAGAATAAACGAAATACAAACGATGAATAAGAAATCCCTGTTCATGCGCTTACATTTCAGATGGGATGCGGCTAGCGAAATATTAACTGAGATTATTTAGAACAATCCGAAAAAATATTCAACGATGGAGAACTACGATCAGTGTTTTCTACACAACTAATGGTGACACTGAGGCTAAAAGATGAATCAATTCTATTGCTCCTATGGAGCGAGTTATCTTGGTCGAAGTTCTAGGAATTTATATTTTTGTGCTCTTAAACATCATTCAGCGTGGCTAAACAAAGGTTTGATGAAGAAAGTGAATAGCTCAATATTGACTTATTTAGTACAAACTGGTCATAATACCAGTTTAAACCAATACCTTTTTTTTCAATTATTTATAAGGTCAGTAATTGTTTGTCAAAACTTGTTACATTTGAAGTCCTTTAAACGGCTAAACCAGTAACTATCCTGATGAAGAAACCGGAACTATGTGTACAGACGAAATATCTTCAACTACTCTTATTCCTCTTTTCAATCTTAAGGCCAATTAATCAATTGACTCATGATTTCAACCAGTGAAATTTCTAAAATCTCCACAAAACTCCTTCTGATGATAATCATCTGTTCACTAGACACTGACTTCAAGAGATACTCCTGGAGTTCTAGTGAGAAGCCGTTACCAGTGTAGTTCAACCAGGTCTGTTGTGAGATGTGTACGGGGGCTCAACTTCGTGGATTGGTTGAAGTTAGACATTAACACCATTGGATGCCGGCTCAGTGGTCTAATGGTTAAGCGCTCGCGCGCGAAGCTGATAGGTCCTGGGTTGTAATCTTGCGGGGGGAGGGGGAGGGGATGCGCACTGCTGAGGAGTCCTGTACTAGGACGAAACGGCCGTCCAGTGCTTCCAGGTTTTCCATGATGTTCTAGCTTCAATCGACTCATGATTTCAACCAGTGAAATTTCTAACATCTCCACAAAACCCCTTCTGATAATCAGCAGTAATGTTAGCTATTGAATGACCTAATTTGACTATTGTACTTTCAACCTTTTGTAGTCAACTATAATTGTCTCAGTTATCTTCATTCACATATCTTATTATTATTATTATCATTACTATGGGTTAAACATCATTATCAATCTCCTCTATACATGGTTCATTTTGCTTTGCATTCATTCCACTATTGTTCCTCTCAACCTATCTGACCCATATTCATTCTGATCATGGATCTTAACATATTCACTTAGCATATAAACTGACTTAAGTTAATATGGTGAGACTATAACTGATAGACGAACCAATCAGATTTGGGATAGCAGGTCTTGGATTTTGGAGCGAAATTCATTCATCCATTTGGCTAAATAACGTTTTTGTCATTCTAACGGATATCAGTTCGTTATGAAAAACCCTAAATTTAATTCCCAATCCCTAACCATCAACCACAAATCATATTCTTTATTCTTCAAACAGTTATATAATCCTCATTTAGCCCTAGTAACTAGGTAAACATTCTGAAGGTTACTTTAGCATCGCTCAAAGGTCATCCATAAATTATAGTCTGATTGAACCTGAAAAGAATTTATCAATACAAAACGGCCTTCCAGTGCTTTCAGGTTTTCAATGGCAGTCTAACATCAATCGGTTCATTGTCTCAATCAAAAACCTAACAATCTCCACAACCCCTAAACTGATAATTACTATATGCTCACTAGTGACCAGCCTCGTGGTAGAGACAGGTATCTGCCTCAGTACCATGGAAGATGGTCGCGCAACTTCGTGGATTGGTTGAGGTTAGGCATTAACACCATTGGATTCCGGCCAGTTCAGTGTTCCAGTAGGTTAAGCGTTCACGTGCGAAACCGAAGGCCATGGGTTCGAATCCTCCGATCGAGATCGTGAATGAGCACTGCTGAAGAGGAGTTCCACAATAGAACGAAACGGCCGTCTAGTGTTCCCAGGTTTTCAATGGTGGTCTAACATCAATCGGTTCATGATCTCAGATCAAATTATGATCTTTCGATAATGTTAATTTTACAAAAGTGTGGTGAAACTTACTTTTACAGTATGATATAATTTTCAATTGATCATGTATATCATTATTATTGAATTGAAGATGTATTCTTGTGCTGTATAGAAAAGATAAACAATAATAGAGATGAAAAGAAAACTAAATAGTATATTAGAAAAGGTTTCTTTGTGGATATTATAGTAAATACAATAGTTAATATCACGAATTAATTGAAGTTAGACCACCATGAAAAACTTGGAAGTATTGGACCGTAGTTTCGTCCTATTGTGGTACTCCTCTGCAGTACGTATACACAATCCCTCACACGGGACTTGAATTTAGGAACTTCGGTCTTACGCGTGAACAGTTAACCCTTAGACCACTAAGCCGATGTCCAACGATGTGAATGTCTAACTTCAACCAATCTATGGTATTGCGCGACCGATCATCATGTGGGTCAGATAGGATAAGAAAAATAATGGTACAGTTACAAATTCAATCGAATATCTAGTGGAAGACTATGTTGTTTTATTAAATTATATGAAATTAAAAGTAAATAATATAGTGTGGTGATTGTTATGTAGATTATTCTTGTATCCGAGAGGTCAATATTGATAATAAATGAATAAAGATAACAAAGACAATTATATCTTGATATCATGATTGGATCAATCTTAGACCATCATGAGAAACCTAGAAGCATTGGACCGCCGTTTTGTTCTAGTATGAGACTTCTCAGCAATGTATATACAAGATTTTCCACGTTGGACTCGGACCCACAACCTTCGGTCTCGCTTGTGAACGCCGTTGGATGCTGGCTCATTGGTCCAAAGGTCAAGTGTTCGCGCGGAAGACCAAAGGTCTTAAGTTCGAGTCTCGTGTGGGGGATCGTGGATAAGTACTACTGAGGAGTCCCATACTAGAACAAAACGTTTTTCCAATGTTCCCAGCTTTTCAATGATGGTCTAACATTGATCCATTCATGATAACAAAATATAATTGTAGTCTTATTTCTCTTATCCTATCTGATCTATATTTATTCAGATCATGAATCTTATTATTTATTTATTATTTATTTTAACACATAGGTATTGGTACAAGGAGGCACCAAATACATATGCGCTACACGAATCTCAATTGATTTGTGTGAGGGCTGTGATACTGTCCGGGTGCCCAAACCGAGGCAGGTGGTTTTCTTAGGGGGCCACACCCCGAGCCTTTGACCTGAAGGTCTGATCCACAAGGCAGTGGAGCATCTTAAGGAGATGCAGTCCCATGGTAGCCGGTGACCAACGATTGGTTCATACGCCATTTGTTCCTTCAGGATACTGGAACCAGCCCATGTACACCATTGGTTCGGGATCCGGTTAAAGCACCGGACATTCGCTTTTCGTCCTCTCATTTTCGTAAACAGCACCCCGGCCACGTGAAGGCAGTGAGTAGGACTTCCCTGACAGGGGATATGTACGCGTGGCCATGTGAGAGCATTTCGAGAGGGAGAGCAGACTCTCCCCACTCTCGGCCGTACCAGTTAGTCAGTCAGAAACAACATAGAACATCGTACGTACGTACATCTGTTCGAGTTGCTACACCACATTAACACAGAGATGCAGCTGTCGATTTGAATTCCGTAGCGGTAATGGTAGTCAAAGTATAAGCAGTAATCGGAAAGATTAGGGTTTGAAGATGTTATTCAAGAAGTATAATCCAGCGAAATAAATTTGAAAATAGACAAACAAGAAAGGGACACGAAGAATTCAGATAATTAGAATTTGGGAGATCAAAAAGATTGAATGCACCTGTGCCAGTGCAAACGATTTTGAGCCATGTCATTCAGGGTCTCTAACCATCGGTTGCTATCATCTCGCTGATCCCAACCAGGTAGTCTACACCCACTAACATGGATTTGTGCTGTGTTTTAGTCTGGCCGTCCATAGCTTTCTTCCAACCTACTCCTATACCAATGAACATCGTACATCAGAGCAGTCGGTGGTTGGGCATACGTAACACGTGTCCTAGCCATCTCAACTGATGAAGTTTCACTACATCATCAATCGATTTGCCATTGTTACCTAGTACCCGTTTCCTGACAACTGTATTACTCACTCTTTAGTCTTTAAGATTTATCAAAGAATATTCAATCAAAATCAATTAGAACTCACTGATTATCAAAATTACATTCATTGGAAGAATCGATAGTTGTTTTATTGTGATTCTCTAATTGATGAAATAAAAAAATAAAGGTGTAATACTGAAGGTAGGCATTTGTAAAGATCGATTAAATGTATAAATGATATTTGTTACTAATCAGTTTATTTTCTAGGAGTATTGAATAGCTTGGTTTCAAATCCTGCGTGCGAGATAGTGGATGCGGTGAGTCCACCTAGGGAAGTTGGGAAACCATGATTCCAAACCAATAGTGCACATGGGCTCCAGTATCCTGAAGGAACAAATGGGTTATGAACCAATCGTCGGTCACCGGCTACCATAGAACTGCATCTCCTGTTTTTGCGCCAACTGCTTCGGTTTAGGCATCCGGGCAGTATCACAGCCCACATACAAACCAAATGATTTATGTGGTGCATATCTATTTAGTGCCTCCATTTACCAATGTTTATGTGTTTGAATAAAATGAAATTCTCACTTCTAAGGAATCTCATATTGAGACGAAACAGCTGTTCAGTGCATTCAGGTTTTTAAGAGTGGTCTGGCCTTAACTGACTCATGAATCCACAAAACCCTCTTCTGATAATATTTAGAAGTCTTTAAGGAAATTCTAACAAACAATATACTGAGTATCGATAATAAGGATTTCTCAAGTTCTAGGAATTAATGATATGTTTTCACTATTATCTAATGGCATCTAGAACTATCCGCTCGGATTATTTCATATCTTTCTTTCTTTCCGTACTATATCGTTACATAAAATCTTCACTTTATATATTACACCGTTGAGTTAACTGCTTCTATGAATCCGATGTTCATCTTGCTGTAGTAAGTAGGTGTTATATTATCGCTCTTACGGTTATAACCCAGCTATTCCTATGGCTTAGTATTCACGGACACAGATTCACTCGACAAGGCCCTAAATCAGAACACGATTGAGCAGGAAGGAGATTATATTCCAAATAACAAGGTTAGGTGGAAGCAAGAAACAAAATAGGAAAACCGTTAGTATATTTATAGCTTTTTACACAAGAAGAATCTAGAAGCTTCTCCATGTATCGACTAGCGCTGATTGGATAAGAATCAGCCAATCAGCGTGCGCCAAAGCAATCGTGCATTGAGCATGCTTAAATCCAATCTATGTCCCACTAACAGTAGGTATGGAAACTTGAACCGATGCATATATGTGCCTGGTCCTACATTGTAACTAACTCACTGTATCCGCTCAAATTCATAACTTGATAAACACAACAGCAAAGATACTTTGGATGTGATTAAAACTAGAAAATGAGTACTTTCTGTTATATCTTGAGGCATGTTTTAGGATCTCTAGTTCTCATAAACTTCACTTAGAGCCCTTCTGGAACTACTGCCGATTTCAAGCCCAGATAAAGGAGGACGGTTGGGCATGAGGTTAGTGACTGACTCACTATTGAATAAAATCATGAAAAGATACCAAATTTATGTTCAGTATTGTTTAACTTCAAACCAGCTTCCATATTCAAATTGACTTTTCTATTTAAAATATACATACTAGTTACTTTAAGATACAGTTATATAATATATCCTTGTGGACCAGGGTAATTTTACATTGGTTTTCATGAGAGCCAGACAACGTATAGCCCTTAACGCTACAATCTGAATAGTACAGCACAGTCCTGTGGCAAAACCACACAGGTATCAAGCACCCTGGTGGACCGTTCGCACCATTCACATACACATTCACATCACATGTATAACTATTCCGATCAATGATTGCATGAATCAATTTGTCACAACACGAACAGGTTAAAGTTGACCTTATCCGTTTACACGACAGTCAAACTCATTGATGTTAGCAATGGCGACATATCTTACAATGTCCCAATGACAACAGCCCTCGATAACACTGAAAAGCATCCACCAGTGTGAATGAAATCGGTTAACCAGCAAACCAATTTTGTGTATGAACAGTCAGCAAAACTTGCCAAAGTAATGCCGAACTATTCACAATAACAATGATGAACCTCCAGTCTCATATAAGACATTCAGCTCTACATAGCCATATAACTTTAAGATACCATTCCTATATTATATAATCTTTAGAAATTCAAGGAAGGTGATTGCAACCTACGTTGTTTAACTTGATAATCAATTGGGATTTTGTTGACTGTTCCAGTTTTAGGAATGATTGCTAGTAAATGTTCAGTATGATTTAATTTTGGTAAGAATTTTCGTTTCTTTCTAGAGGATATTTTACCTTGGGATATTGTATTGCTATAACTAGCATTGATGTTTTCATGGTTTGATTGATTTCTATTAAGATAAAAGATAAAAACAATAATAACAAAATTGTGTTTGTAGTCGAATGGTGATAGAATTCGGAAATACGAATCATCCGGTTATTACTAAGTACTTTAAAGGCTAAACAGTTAGCTACGACATAGGACCAGACACATGCATACATCGGTTCAAGTTGCTATACCATACTCATTAGCGCAACAAGATGAACACCAAATACATAGAAGTACTTACTTCAATGGTAATAATATATGAAAGAAAAATCATATATAAAGCAATGATGCAGGAAGAAAGAATTAGTTTGTAGAAAGAAAGGCATAAAGCAATTTTAATCTCACGGTTTAAGGGAATACAAAGAGTGTATACACCGACGCCATTGCGACCGCTTCTGAGCCATATCATCTAGAGTCTCCAATCATTGGTTACGAGAGTCACGCGGACCTCAACCGCTTGCTGATAAACATTATCTAGTTTATATCATCGTAGGCGCCGTTTCATACGAACAGAAGTTAGCTTTTTATTGCTTTCTGGTTTTTAATGGTAACTCAACAGAAATCAATCCATCAAGGTGATTCAACACAAATGTAACTGATATTTCGCGAGGTTGACATATGTTTTATTTGTTATCCCAATATAACAGATAGGCCATACAGATACGTACCAACTAGTAGGAATCCTAGGTTAGCCAACGACTGATCTCATCCTTTTGATGTTGCACGTATTACGTCTCAGGTTAATCTAGCTAATGGTAACAGAGTTATTTGATTAGTAAATTCTGTTTTATACTAAAGACTAGGAAACATGATATTTGTTACTAATCAGCGAATATTTATCTCACTGAAAATGCTTAATTAATTTTCGGTTTAGCTATTTATTAGTCAAACCTTAAAACATAAATAGCATTTCAACGCTCTGCAAACTTCAATGGAATAATTCATCTTGTAACTGGATTTCCAGAATGTTATACCTAGGACATAGACGTTTCTACGTACTGAATTCTGTAGAGCATTCAAACAATCGCTTTTTCAACCAAGTTTAAGTTTGTTATTTCGTGTGGGTGAGGATTAAAATATCCAACCAAATACTGTTAATCGATCAATCATACAATATTTTATGACTGAAATTTAGACTCAGATTGAGTAGTATTTAACACTTTAGCTCAACCACTAGCCTTTTTGGGGCTACTGCTGGTCTTAAGTGGGGGCAAAAGAAAAGGATTGGAGATAGGGTTAGAAACCCCACCCGTAGAAAACAAACTTGTTAAAAGAAGGATAATCAGAAAAACAATTTCAACTGTTTAAACTCTGCCTTGTAAGTTGAAGGACCACTTTTTGGAAAAATTATGGTGCCTCCTGATGAAAGCCTATATTCTTCGGAAGTCACGAGGCCAATGTATATTATCGAATGCCATGTACCCACTAATGATAGCAAGTCACGCCCCTTAAAAGTAGCTAAATATATTTCATGGAATGATGACTAAACTTTACCTGCATAATTTATTTTTCTGCTCAATAAACTTGAGTACAAAAGGTTTCGAATCGTTAGAACCAAAATCAACTTTTTCGTCATGATATAATCTATCATTGTTAACTAAATCAAGATTCAATTTGCATTTAAGTACGTTCAAATTATCTTGTATTCTGCAAGTAAGAGCCGTTGATGTTAAATCCTCGTTGGATTGCTTATATTTTGAAAGGGACGTTCCCACTCGAGTTTTATCCATTATTGTTATAGCCGCACTATGAATAAAATAAAGATGGGTAAATGTGCTTTGATAATGATGTTTACTTATTAAAAATAAATGAAACATTAAGAAATAAGTTAATATTGTGATCAATATTAAACACGCCTGCCCTGTTTAGAGATGTCATCAGGTGACTTAAATAATCATCAAGCCTAAGTATTTGAGCCCAGAAGGAAAGCGTCAACTCTCATCACTGTGACAACTGATTTTACTTGTAATCAAATTCAAGCATGGATTTTCTAGATGACGTTTTATATTGAAGTAGATCATGTAAGATAACCACGTACAGATAGTCATATATCTTCTCTCTTTACTTTTACGGTTAAAGACAAATAAAAACATGCATGTGGAGGATAAATCTTTATTTAATTAATTACCAAATTACATCCCGACATACATTTTGAACTTGAAGTAGATCAATTGTGGTTGAAACTAATGCTACTTACTTTACCACAAAGAGATAGAAGAACCAATGCGCGAATCTCAACTTGTCTAATAATAATATCAAAAACAGACTAATTCAGTGCTATATTGCTGAGTTATTGTTTTTCATGAATTCGAAGAAAACTTATATATATCACAGTGTAAGTACCTTAAATCGTTAAGCTAACAAAAAATGTAGCTTCCTATTTAGTTATCAGAAAGTTGTCAACCTTGTTGAAAACAGTAACAGTATTAAATTGGTTGGAGATCAAAGATACGATTTTCAGAGAAAATGTGGACTAATGTAGTAAAAATTCTACAAAGTGTGTGTATTCAGAAACTTAGAATCTGCCGAAGAACAAAGAGTGAATACATCCTTCCTACTGTAGACGATTCTGAGCTAAGTCACTCAAAGTCTTTAACAATTTGTTAGAATAGTAGAACGGAAATGAACTAGGTAGTCTTCACATTTCTAGATTTCTCAGTATAACAGTCAATGGCTTCAAAGATTGATCGTGTACCTTGATTTGAGCATTACCAGAATTCTTTCAGCCTTTTCCCATACCAGAAAACATCGCGCTTTGAGGTAGGTGGTAGATGGGTACACACAATATATGTACCAACCACTTTAGTTAAAAATAAAATATGAGAAAGTTTAATCTTTAGAGATAACTGCTTATTGTAATGCATGTATTTGAAGTCGATGATGCAAATGAAATTCACAGGAACTACAGGGTTCCAAATTTATATTAGCAGAAATTTATATATTATTGATATTATGGCTGCATTAAAAACCCGTCTACATGAACTTAAAATCAATTATATCGATGTTCAAAGCCTATTAAAGATGGGTCTGCAGATACACGATCCGCCCTTAGTCCTTAAGGAAAGTTTGTTCTACGTACGTAGAACGTGCAAGATAAGTATTAAACCATAAACATTTATGATAACCCCAGGGTTATCATAAATAGCTCTGACCAGAGCTATTTTTCGATCTTAGAACAATAAAATATCATTTAAAAGGGCTACTTTGTTATTCAATAGTTGAAGACTTCTGACTTTCACGGGACTTGGATGCAACCATCGTTGTTAATGGAAGACTGATATTCCAATTATCGAAAAATTCTTAATTGCTTTTAATACGACACCGACATATTTCCGCCACGTAGAAATGTTTAGTGAATATGTTTGTGCTTAATTATTTATTGATATCCAAACTGAAGTGTGTGGTCATATTTAAGCCATTTTGTATTATATAAACATTGTGGTTATGCTGTAAACGTTTCCTCAGTTTGTTTAACAATAAACGTCTAGAACACACCGTAAATTTCCATGAACAGTGCCAAAAATTCTTGGGCGAAAAATGTTATCGTAGGGCAATACAACATGGTACTATGAAGCTCCGCGATGACAAACTCTTATGTGAAGAAATCCACTAACTTAGAAATACGCGCGTATTTTACCTTAACTTTAGTAATGAGCGCTCAGCACAATACAAAAAGTGACGTTGAATAATTATGAATTATCAAATGAGGAACAGAAATCTGGGTAAATTAAATAATGATGGTGGAAAACGTGTGTAGGTGCATTTTTATATGATTGTACTGTCAAACAAAAGCATGGTTTGTTATATTTTTTTGTCATCCAAGATATAATTACACTGACGTGAAATTGTTGATTATTATGCCAATAACGGTTTGACGACTGTATACAATGAAATGGATAATTGAGAATCTAACTCAGTACTCGCTACTTTGAAATCACCGAAGGATTCGACAACCTTGAAAACCACAACTACTGTGGAATGTTATAACTTTACTATGGTAAAACAAAATCAGTATCAATTTTGAAAGAACAAAAGGCAATGATAGACTGTCAGTTAATCCAGCATTTTTTAAAGAGTCAACAGGTGGAGCTTCAGTCACATGTTGATTTACTGAATTCTACTCGTTGATGATTTAAAGGGAAAGTCGATAGTCAGCTGACAAGTAATTTGTTCTGGTCTTGTTAACTTCTTCGGAGAGTCCTCGTAAATTTTCTGTGTTTGAAAAAATCAGGAATTATGGCATATCAAATGCAAAATTATCACGAATTAATTATGGAACTGTAATAATGTCACCTCTAGTTCTTCGATATGATAATGGGAATAGGTTAAGTTTAGCCAGCCGAACGTTATACGGAAGCTTCGCTATCGTGGGAATAAGCTTAATTGATGCTCTTTGAACCTTTTCCGAAGGATCGTTGTCTTTCTTCAAGCAAGGGCTAGCCGCTCAAGTTCAGTGCGCAGGAATACCGAGTACAATTTCAAAAAGATTTTAGCTAAAGTCCATATGTATTATTACGTTTGGCGAATATTGCAAGGCTGTGTGCAGCAGTTTTCAAGTCGTGGCTAACGATGATTTCTAAGTCATCGCGTGTCTGAACAATATGTTTCACAGTGTTATCAACGTGTGTGTATCTATACCTTGGTGACAAATATGCATTACAATACACTTGGAAGCATTTATCGGCACCTGCCAAGTTTTAGACCATCCAGATAATTTCTCTATGTCATTTTGAAACTAAGTTATAACCGTGACTTCTTATCGCTCTTTGTATCTTGAAATCGTTAGCATATAGGAAGATCGACGATCATATTAGACGAGGAGTGTTATTTACCTACAACAGGAATAAAACTAATCCCGAGACTGTACTCTAAAGCACTTCGTTAAGCACCATTTCCCGGCTAGACACCTTGGAGATAACCCTTACTCTTTGTTGGCGTCCGATTGTGAAGCCCTTTATTCATTAATTTTTTAAGTTATTTAACAGTCGTTTATGAGTAACTTTGTCAATAATTTCGTTGAATTTAATTTAGGATATATCTACAGGCAAATTTTGGTGTTTAAGAGCGCACCGGCTTTCATGAACCACTAATAAGTTAGTGGGAAGGGACTAACCTATTTTAAAGCCATGCTGCTTCTCCGAAAGGATCCGGCTTTCATAGATAAACAGCTCCTTCCGAATAATCTTTTCTAACGGGTCGGTAGTTTATATGTTTGGTACCTGTTTTGAAGACAGGACTTACTATGGCGTTCTACCCTGAGTTACGGATACACTGAGGGGTTCGCAATGAAATTGTCCAGTCCTACTGGTAATCTGCAATGCATTTCATCGGGTTCCGTGGATTTGCTTATTTAACAGACCGAAAATATCAAGTTTTTAACGGTCACATTGTCCATTGTGTGTGTGGAAGAGTGTGTGTACGGTATATACATTGCTAAAATAGCTCTAGACTACTTGAGCTTTACCACTGTCGCTCTCCACTAATGATGAAGCATTACTGTTCCTTGATAGGGCTGGAATATTTTCTCTTTTCTTAGTCCTTGGGTTTATAAAGGAATACAGGCGTTAAGAGCATTCGATAGATTCGTTAACAATTTGTTCTTTGTAAAACCTGAGTGATTCACACGTCTCACTCTCATGGAACACACTATCGATAATGGCTAATGGGAAGGTATTCTTAGTGAATAGAGTTATTCTACCTCCTCTGAACTTTTGGATACTGTTGTCTCTTAGTCACGTGAAACCTTTAAAATGGAGCTCTACACTACCTGTAGGCTGTGTCAGTCAATATTCTGTGACTGTGATCATATCCGGTTTTTGAGTCCATGCGGTGATACAATTTGCTAGATGGCGCTAACAACTCTGCTTCTAATGATAACAACACGGTATGAAATTTGTATCAAAAAGCGACAAGTGAGTTCGTGACCTCTTGAATACTTTACTGTGTCCTGAGCATTGATCTGATGTGATTTAGAAGTAATGGGGAATATTTCAAGTCCAAAATGATTTCTTGATGATATGTGGATAGAGATTGGGTCATATATCTGTTAGAACGACTTCAAAAACATCGACAAGCGTCCAGAGGCTTATAAGAAACTGAAGACATTTCATTCAATCAGAACGTGATAAAGCCTTCTAGAATATCAACGTGTCGCGCTACGATTAGATGATAACATAACTTGCCTCCTTGCTGACTGACTGAACTATAATGATGTTCAAACCAGTGCTAGTATCTATAAGTGCCCATGTTCTTCTGTCTTTTGATTTTCAAATGTGAGATTCTACACGTTCAAGTGCCGTTAGTTTTATATCGTATAATGCCTTGATCAAGTAGAAGACGTAAAAATATCCACTTTCAATAGTAGTATAAGGTATGAAAATTTGACCAGTGAATCCAGTAGTCATTTCGATAAACCGATTTTTTCTGATGTTATAGGAATATCATTCTAGTTAAGTATCTATTGGTTGTTTTTATATTGGTATTTGCATTGTGGATACATCTTTACATTTTCAATTTAACTGAAATGTGTTTAATGTGGTGGACACATTTGTGAAAAACCACATCATCACCTAGTGCATTAAGACCTCTCGTTGCATAAGTCAGTTCCACGTTGGCAGTTCACTAACACATATACAGCTTGGTGTAGTCGGTGTTATTTACTTAGTTATGAGCCATTACCTAACATTTTACCATTTTTGGAGCTCTCAGTGTGTACTACAACTTTGGACGTATTTTTGAATTTATTGACCACTGTAAAGAGCACATTCGATGTAGTTTTTATACATCGCTGACCAATATTATAAGCTTACTTATGAAAAGCATCTCTATTACTCAAGGGTTTTCATGCCTATTCCGAGAAAATTTCCCATGCATTGAAGTCACTGGTATCTGTATTTCATTTGTGAATACAGAAAATTGAAATGGTCGCTGTCATTCATGTCTCGGATTGCTTCGACAAGTTTCCACAATCAGCCTGAAATTCTCGGTACAATTTCTTTTGCAAGTTCACGGGAGATTTTGAATTTGTTGACTCAAACGCTTACTGTACATTAGGAAATACGTAGAGGGTCATGAACATAAGTAACGGTTGTTTAAGCCAAGGGTGTTCTGTGTAATTTTGTCACTAAGTACTTGTTTTCAGAGAGCAAGAATTAATTAATTAGTTAACACTGAGAGAAGAGAATTTCCTTTATTCATCATAGTAGCGTAAAAGCAAGTGTTCAAACTCTGAATAAATATGATGAGGGTGCTCAATAAATTGGCACACATAAACCTAGTAAAGGCATAGGCAGAATTATCACTGAAATCTGTCGTGGATCCGTGAATGAATCTAATCTGCATATATCGGCGCAAAGCGAATGATAATATTGCAGGACAAATCTCAATACCACGAACCGAAACGCCTATAGGTGAATAACAAAACTGCAGAAACGATGGTTGCTCAATGTTGTGGATTAATTGAGATCAAAAACTAGCTCTGTCGGATGCCAGCTAAGTAGTCTGAATACTAGGCGTTCACACGCGAGCTCAGGTGCCTCGAGTTCATGTCGTACACTGAGACGAAAAAAGCCGTTCAATGTTAACGAATTTTTAACAGTGGTCTAAGATGGATAGGTTCATGACTTCAATGGAAGAACTAGACATTAAAATAAAGTATAATCTTGAATAACAAAACACAATATTAACAGTTAGGTAATGAACTCTGCTTTGACATTCTCTTTATGGTAACCGACATAAATGCATCGCAATGAAAAATTGATTGTCTTTTTGCATGACTGTCACCAACTGTGTGAAATGAAGTACAGATCTAGTAGCTTCACTGAGAAAAAATCTAAACCAATTATGACACGCCAATTGACTCAAAATGTTATGGAACTATCATGATCTGCAACCACAGGCCATGGGCGATAATGCAGTAAAATGAAAAAAATAGGTGGTGTTTGTTTGAACGCAAAGATGCGACGTGGATATCGATCGACCGACTGATTAGCATCTATTTATGACTGGTGCAGAAAACAATTATTAGTGAATAAAAGTGTGAATACAGACTTAAGATTATAAATGGAGAAGAAGATATGACTATGGAGGTTAATAAGTTCACACATCGCTGTAAATTATTCAGCTTTTTGATTTTGGTTGTTATCCTATCCCATTGATTAACGCTGATATTAACTATGGTCATTGGTATTCAGCTGCTTACAGAACTGAATGGTTATTTTGCAAATTTAAACCTTTTCAAAGGGTGTTTATCATAGGGTTTTTTCAACTTGTGGAAATATTTGACTATTCAAAGAAGTATTGTTATTTAAGGTTTGCATGTGTTTCATATTGTCTTGTTTGTCTTCTTGTAGTTGATGTCATGGACGGACCTTATTGATACAGCTAATGAGAAGCAGAAAGAAACAGAAAAACGTTTCTCACTACTACAGAGGTCGTTCAGGACGCGTAGTTGATTTGGAACTTCAACGAACACCTCAAATTACTCTGAGTGGTAACACAGTGATTTACATGTCTAACTGAAATCAAATCATGTGAATACGTAACTGACTTCTATCTCTCTACGCGGATAGTTGATTCAAACTTTTGATGAAAACCATCGGATTCAACAGTATCCACAAACACGTGAAATAAAAATAACAGCACGCTAAAAGACGATAATTTTTGTTGAGTTATTTCGGAAGTTATAGAACAAACTGACGTAAAGTATACTTAAGTAGATTGTGAGACGGTTACCCAGCCAAAGGAATACGAAATAGTTGGCCGATAATGCGAACTCCAGATTGTAGACTGTTCGATATGCAATCACGAATTGAGCATGATTAAATTGGAAAAACTACAAATACATACAACGGTTATCACATATTTACGAGGGGTTTATTTTACGTTGTCTCTCAAAAAAGTCGACTGACAATCACTGAGCTAATACATGACGCTTATTATATTCAGTTACTTTAAGTTAATGTAAATAAA